AGACTGACGGCTGCAAATATTTATCATAATAAAACTCAAACTAGTTAACATCAGTAATATATCCACTTCACTACACAGCTTATTTTCTTTCAGGAAAAGTCAGTTTGACTCCCATCAAACCTGAAAATTGATTCTTTCATGTTGTGTCCTACACACTTGAAAGGCTGAGTTGTATTTAAATGTAGTTTCAGTCTGCAACTTCAGTGCCAGTGAATCCTGCATACTGATCCTTTAAAATTAGTTTCAAACACAGTTTGTTTTAAAATGGCAAATCTGCTATGAGAAATAGTCACTCTTAGACAAATGTACCTTTAAAGCCTCTGTGTATCTGACTTTGGCTCCCCTAGTGGTACTACCAAAGAGTTACTGTGGCAGAGAGCTGACTACTTTTTTCTATAGAAACAACTTACATTTAAAGATTCTGTAGTCACATAAATGTACTATTCATAGTGGCTTTAAAGTCAGTTTCTCATTACAGGTTGTATTTTGCACTATCCTTTCACAGCTGTAATAAAACTACACACGTATCAATGACTACATGACAATGCTTGGTTCCTCTAAGAGCTTTCAAAATCTGTATAGCAGTAGGCTGAGTGAGCCATAAAGGGCATGGTGTGAGTAACCTCATTGCACAATTGGTGGCAAAAACACATAATCTGTTCAAGCAAACAAACATGCTTTGTTACCACAAATACAACAATAGTCCAAAAGCAACAGATAAGATCAGATAGCAAATAATGTTTTGTGATAGTGATATTCACAGTTTGTTTCAGGAAAACATACAAAGTTTAAGGCTGTTTTGATGATGAATCTCACATCAAAGGATGTTTTAGCTCTATTAACTTTTAACACTTCAGCATGAGGTGGTGGTAACACTGGGGCATGTGGGGGACCAGAGGGATCACAGCAATGAGTCTCCAGCTAGAGTCTGCTGCCCTCCTGTGGTGTCTCTTCAGTTCATGTAGTCATTAGGATTCATCCTCATGCTTTTTTGCTGAGTGGGCCTGACCTTACTCCACAGCAGTCACTGGGGTTTGGATCTAAGCAGTTCCTCTGTAATTGCAGTTGCTCAGCATTTTAATTTGAGCCTTTTTCTGGTACTTTATTTGTGGACTTGCAATATGCAAAGATTCAATTACAGTAGTGTAATGTATCATCTCTGATTCTGCTGGCATCCGTGTAATCTAAATGCTGTCTTTACTGTAGGCTGTAACTTCATATTGTGGCTCACTGACCATATCCACTGTCATTGTATTACATTATATTTATTTGGCAGCTTTTGACAATGAGAATAAATGTTGCATACTTTTGCTAGCCATAATGCTAACATGGTTATTTAATCCTGTAATACATTCTAGGGATGAGTTCTATGGTAGCATAAATTTAGATGTTCTGAGCTTATTCTAACTCATCGCAGACATTTACCAAAATAACACCAGCAAACAAAGCTGGCCTCTCTCCATACTGTATGCAACTGTTTTACAATTGCAAATTATACTTCAGTGAAAAAAAATGTACAGAGTCTTCACGTTTACATTATAAGTTAATGGCTAATGGCTAACGGTAGCAAATTAAAGTGCTTACGCATTCTCGAGAAACACAGATATAATTGTTGATACGAAGCAGTCAAAACTGTTAAATGTGAACTAGTTGGCTGTGACGCTTTGCCAACTCAGAGATAACCGTGGGGCAGTGCAAAAGTGGTATTGATGCTTACTTTCTGAATCTGAACTCTTTCAAGTAATCAAACTCTGCTTGTGATTATGATTCAAATCAATATTTGCGTAAGGACGAGTCCTTACTTGGAACTGGTACCTTTCTTGGATGTTACCAAAATGTGGATATATTCTGTGAAGGAGCAAAGTGCGTCTCAAAAAGAAACAACAATCACACTGACCACAAAGTAATATAGTCATACAACCAAAGCCAACTAGTGACATTATGACACTGACCACTTCCCTGATGTGTCAGAGAGAGGGTGATGCAGGATGATGAGGGACCAAAGAGAAGATGGGCTATATGTTTCAAATAGAAACTCTCTCAATTCCTAATCTCTATTTCTGCATTTGTCTGTTTACATACAGCTAATGTAAATACATGATGCAAGAGCAAGTTGTAATATCTGCCAATAAAGGCAGGAACACATGGTAAAACTACCTGATTCCAGCAAAGGTAGCGTTGGATATTTTGGAGCAATACACAACCAAATATCATATAATATTCAGCTTTAGATATTTCAACACATCTGTCCAGAAATAAGCACATTATTTGATACATGCTGAAAAACCACAGCTGAGGTTAATAACATAAAACTGGGCCTACAAGCTGAGTCTTTTTTTAACTTTGTTTGCCCCACTAGAGGTAACAATTCAATTTTTCATCAACATCTGACAATTTCTTTTTCTGCTGTGTCTCATCGAGCATGGCTGCAGACCTCTGAGACAAGTGGGAACATTTCTTATTTAGACTAAAATAACAGACAGACTGACAATGCTGCTTACCTCAGCCACCTGAAATCATTTTCTCCTCTCTGTAACATGAATATTGTTCTGTGTACAGTGCAGTATGCCATTTGTGCTTCACAGGTTTGATTCCTCAGACCTGCCACCACTATATAGGTCATACGACACCATTTATCTATCTTTGAATGCAACCAGTGGGTCACGACACAGATCAGCAGTGTGTATGTTTCCATATGTGTGTGTGTGTGTGTGTTTGCCGGTGACATTTTAAAATAACAGCAAAAATCCCCCTTGCTGCCAACTTCCCCTCACATGAGTCAGGAGCACTGTGTTGACCACCGTCTAAACAATGATGTTACTCCAAAAATATTGGTCTCCACAGTGTTTGGACACAATGTTTGTTACACATTACACATGCAATCACTAATAGGGTGCAGATGAACATAATTTTTTCTGTGATGTTCGTATTACCCTTATAACACAATAATTACCATATTTGTATGGGGGGGGGTTAAGAGAAAAGAGTGTAGGATTGTAGCTAATGTTCCACAAATCATTGCCGTCGTAACGTTGCTCCTTCATAATGACTTAATATGATCCTTTAGACTAGACACTAGCTGTTTGTAATCTTAATGCAGTGTCAGACATTTGGTTTTCTCCGGCAGCGCAGTGGCTTCATTCCTACCTTGACTGCAACACTTGACGTACAGTCTCATACTTAGCAAAACATTGTCATTACAAGACATTTTCCAAAAGTATGTTGATAATGACTGGAATTGGGACACAGTCGAATCATTGTTTGACATGTAGTCATGTGCAGGGGTGGGGCTTGGGGGGTAGGTATGTATGTATGTGTGTGTGAATATATATGTGTGTACTGTCTAAGTGTTAGGTCAACAGAATGTACCACAGAGTTTTACTTAGCTGTCTTTCAACGTGTTTTATGTCTGTTATTTTAAAGGCTCTTCTGGAGACGGGCATTGAAAATCAGCTGTAGCAACAAATGCTGTGATACATCGCATTGTGTCATTGTAAAGCAAATTTCCATATAAATTGTATTTTAGATATGAAATTGCCTTATTGGTGTTAGTTCAACAATTTAAGATGGACAAAATTATTTGAATGCCTAGCTCTAAAAAAAAGACCACCTTTGTGTAGAGGTTAAGGAATTCCATTGTTGTGGCAGGAGCAAATAATTATACACCTCTGTTGTCTCTCACAGACGACAGAAGAAATAACAGGAAGCATGTCTTTACCTGCTTTGACTCCTGGGACCTACGCAGTTATATTTCTCCATTGTACTTTCCTGTTTGTTTGGAACAATATTCTCAAGGTATTTTATAGATTATACATACATAATTCTGAACATCATCACTACCTTTCCAAACAGAAGAGAAACCATTTCTTTGAAATTTAAGCAATATTATAGGCTACCATTTATCACAGTTTCTGTGAGAAGCATTGTTTTTAATAAATGCAGGTGTTACAATTCCCCTCGCCATTTTCAGTCTTGCTTATGAGGCTTTTACCCTCCTCAGTGTAACCAGCCTCATGTGGCAGTGCTAACATGTTCAGCAGGTATTGTGTTCACCATTTTAGCTGAGCTAGTTAGCATGCTAATATTTGCTAATAAGCATTAAACACAAAGTACACCTGAGGCTGATGGGAGTGCTGTTCATTTTGCCAAACCAAAATATATTAGACAAATTAAAACTGTTAACCGAGGATGGCACTAAATGAAAAGGGATCACCACAGTCGCTATGAGTTCCACAGTGTTATGAGCACCAGGCCAATTTACGCATTGAATTTCTCATTTATGCTCTGAGCAATCCTGCTGACTTTGAGTCACGTTGAGCAACGCAGGAAATCAGGAAAAGATTATTTTAGTTATTACCAGACGAAACCCATGGAGAACATTTATTTGCATCAAAACAATTAATTTTTTGACAGTGTAAAATGTAACATTATACATTTAAATCACACCTTTTACACTGCAATGTTTTCGCTGTCTTGTTCTGAATTGTGATTTGTGTTTGTCAGTCCCATATCCTAAAATGTCTTCACCTAAAATAACACCACACAGAATGACTATCATGAGACTAGCGTCCAAAATTCCCTTTTTTTTTTATAGAAGGGATTTATTTATTTATTTATTTATTTATTCAGTGGATGAAGATGTCCAGATAACAACTAATGTGACATCCTTATTAAAGAAGAACCCAGAGTAATTTATCCCAAAAAGGCTTCATCCCTTCTAAATCTACCAACAAGAAAAAGACAAGACTGTCATGTTGTTCTTGTTTTTAAAAGACAGAATCATAATTTTGCCTCATGGACATTTCTTGTGAACTTATTGGGAAAGTCATCACAATTTGGGAAATGGGAAATGTTTTATCAAAGCATTTTAGGCGGGTTCAAAAGAGTACACTCAAACCACAGTTACTGTACAAGCACATTCTCAACAGACAAAGGAGGAAGTGGCTAGGTGCTTTTACATGAATCACTTAAACCCTTTGAAAAAAAGTGGACCCAAAACACTATAAATACTTGGTTGAGCTCCTCGACCCCAATCACTGGTTTGGACAACACAGAGACAACAACAATGATAGCTTTGCTGCTGCTGGCGCTGGTCGCTCACTCCTTTGCTCTGCCTCTGCCGTCTGGGGACACAGACAACTGGCTTTTAGCAGAGGTAAGATCTGAGGTCTCTAATTCACTCATAATTTAGTCTCATACGCTGGCTTCAAATGGCTTTCTTTTGTCATAATCAATGCAAAAAGACAATGGAGAAATCCACACCTACTTTACATCATTATGAATGTCATTCAGCTTTTGTTCTCTTTCTATAAACAGAAATACCTACGTCGGTTCTATGACCTTCCAGCTGGTCTCCAAAGTCGACAAAGGTCATCTGATGCATTTCGGGACAAGATCAGGGAGATGCAGAGCTTCTTCAAACTCAAGGTGACTGCTTTGATTTGCAGAGTAGTTGTTAGCTACCTGTTGGTAATGTAATGAGCAGGGCATTGCTGTTAATGTAAATACGCAAATTCTTCAATTTGATATGAGTTTGAGTAGGTTTTGTTCATAGTTTAAAGGGAGGAGAGAAAAATGAGATTAGTTTACATGTCAACTGTTTTTCTTATAATTTTGTAGGAAAGAAGTTGAAATGGGTTGATTTGAGTTTTCTTTATTGCCATGACAACAACCTTTGTTAGGAACTTGTCTTGTTGAGCTCATAGTGCAAGACAGACAGGACAATATTCAACACAGCATACAAATAATGAAACCATAATTTATATAAAACAGTACACAGAGATTTAAAACGATAACCTACAAACAAAATATACCTATCAAACGTTTAATATTCAAGACTCATTGGCAGATGCATTGAACCACTCAGAAGTTTTGATGAGTACTCTCATTGACTACAATACTCCAAATGTACCCATCTAACATATTTTCTTTCCACCTCCTCTCCCTCTGAAGGTGACAGGAAATCTGGATGACAACACTCTGGACCTGATGAAACAAGCCAGATGTGGCGTCCCAGACATCGGGGAGTACAACCACTTCCCTAGACACCTCAAATGGCCAAATAACAATGTCACATTCAGGTATGCATTAATGTGGTACTTGTGAACATAATGTAAATGGTGCAGAAAGTGGACACCGGTATCATTTATCACTCATCTATCCCCTGATGTATCAGGATATTGAATTATACACCAGATCTGAAGAAATCGGATGTTGACAGAGCCATCCGCAACGCGCTGAACGTTTGGGCCGATGTCACCCCCCTGACCTTTAAGAAGCTGTATGAGGGCAACGCTGACATTATGATCAGTTTTGGATCAAGAGGTATGATAAACGTTAATTCTGATGTACTGTATCATATCTGAACACACAAATAACAAAATAAATTATGTTGGGTTTTCTACACTACAGCTGCTTAACTATAAATACTAGACATTATGCTAGTGCACGTTCTGCTTAGCATGTTTCAAAATTGTGTGTCCTGTTCTCTGTAGAGCATGGAGACTATAACCCTTTTGACGGGCCAAATGGATTGCTGGCTCACGCCTACCCACCTGGCCAAGGCATCGGAGGAGATACTCACTTTGATGAGGATGAAGACTGGACCAAAGATTCATCAGGTAACAGTTATGCACAAATGTCTAACATAAGTCACCAATCTGAATCCTAATGGTTATAAACAAGTAAGGCCTATCTGGACTATTTTGACTGAGTATCTTTTCTCTACAGCTTACAACCTATTCATAGTGGCAGCCCATGAGCTGGGCCATGCCCTCGGTATGTCCCATTCCTCAGATGCGGGTGCCTTGATGTACCCCGTCTACTCGTATTCTACAGGCTACCCGCTGTCTGAAGATGATATTGAAGGCATTCAAGCTCTCTACGGTAGGAAAATAGCTGAATGAATGAACTGGTCTTATTCCTAATAATACATGAGCAGTGCATTAATGCCAGATGTTCAATCACAGGCCCAAACCCAAACCAAAAGAGAGTGAAGCCAAAGCCTGACGCACCTGACAAATGTGACCCCATGTTGAGTTTTGATGCTGTCACAGAGCTCAGAGGAGAGACCATTATCTTCAAAGACAGGTACAGTAGGAACCATGATGTTAAATACAAAGATGGTAATACATAAACTAAGCTGAACTTTAGATCTAGATTTATAACCTGTTTGAGGAAGTGTTGATTATTCTGTGACTCCATCAATAACTCTCCAACTTCGCAATGTATTTCTGTTAAGATAAGTTTAATTTGCTACATGCTGTTAACAAGCTGTACTTTGTCCAGATTCTACTGGCGTATCCATCCTCAGATGCCGGAGCCTGAGCAGACACTGATCAAGTCCACATGGCCCTCCATCCCCAACAAGGTGGATGCAGCATACGAGAACCCAGAGAAGGATCTAGTCATCATATTTAGTGGTGGGTTATGTATATTTATTTACTGATGTCATATTTTTTTCATTATTGCCTAAATACTAGATACAAACCCTGCTCTGTGTTTCAACAGGTATCCGAATGTGGGCTTTGAATGGATATAACCTTGTTGACGGTTACCCAAAGTACATACACAAACTTGGACTTCCCAAGAAAATAAGGAAAGTAGATGCTGCCGTGCACATCAGAGACACTGGGAAAACTCTAATCTTCACTGATGAGGACTATTGGAGGTACGTGGTGATGAGATTTTTCATTTTTTATTCATTTATCCTTTTTTTTCAATGTATGCAGTCCATTTTTCCTAGCTTTGATAGGGAGTCAGATAATGAGACAGTTTTTCCTTGGAATATATTTGGTGATGAGTAGGCTATTGCATGTCTCAGTAAAGATTCAAAGTCTTTAAATCAGCAAAAAAAAAAACCCCAATATTACTGAGGACCAAAACTGAGTGAGTCAGTCTTCCTGTATTTCATCAATGTTGTTTTGCTTTTATTTGTCACTCACAGCTACGATGAAGCAACAGGTACCATGGACAGCGGCTACCCGCGATCCATCGAGGAAGACTTTCCTGGGATGGATGATGAAGTCGATGCTGCCGCTTATCACTACGGTATTAATAAGCCTCAAATATCACATTGTCAGTGTAGTTAAAGCTGCATTATGAAATGTTTATGAAAATAACTTATTTCCAGAGACTTTCGCTATATGCTGAGATTAGTACACGAGATAGATAATCTGTAAGAAAAGGTTGGTAATGGTGCTATCAAGACCACTAGAAGGAGCCAGTGGGACCTGATTTTCTTTCACAGATTATCTGTCTCATATGCTACTAGAATATAGTGAATGTTTCAGCAAATATGTTTTTTAAAGGATGAACCCCCCCCAGCACCATCAATACACAGCTCTCCCTAATTGTTATTCCTCTCTGTTTTCTTCCAGGATACTTGTATTTCTTCCATGAACACATACAGTACGAGTACAGTTACACCTCGAAGAAGGTCATCCGCATCCTGAGGACCAACTCCATTCTCAACTGCTGATCAGGGGCTCAACATGGGCTTAACAATACATGTCGCTGCAAAGCTCACAACACATCTTCACAATACACAAAATATACACAAACACACGTGTTAGAAATGAGACATAGGAAGTTGCAGCTGACTGACGGAGCAAATGAAGACATGCAGGGTAGAGCTGACCTGTTACAGTTAAACCAGTGTTTGTTTCTTTTTTATTTTTACTAGTGCTGGACACCTGTAGGTCATATAATTTGTCAGACACAGAATGCTGGAGAATTCCTCTGAATATATATTTCCTTAGATTATAGCTATTTATTTTACATCTCTATATTTGTACTACAAGTTTACAGACATGCAAGATCCTTGGCCGGTTAAGCTTCTTGTCAAGAACAGATAGTTTCATTATTTGACTTATTGTTTCTCTAAATTCGGTAACACATTCCAACAAAGACTTTAGCAGTTTAATATATTCTGTGTTTGTTTTGAAAATTACGATAAAAGCAGAGAAATTCCAGCAGGATTAATGATCTTGGTGTTACAGAGCTGAATGTAAAGTAATGTTGTCCCATGTAGTGACATTTTGAGGGAGCTCCGACACACAAGATGACATTTCAAGAATCCAAACTCTGCAGAGCTTTTGCATATTGAGTATGCCAAAGATGAGGTTAACACTTGGATGGGACCATGTCTGAAAGATCTACTTATGCAAATCTGAGTTACTGCTTTTAATAAATGTCACTGATATATCTTTGACATATTTGACGTATGTGAATTTTCTTGTCAGTATGTTTAAACACGTGTGGAAATGATTTATTAAATAAAATGCAAGTAAATTAAGCAAACCAGTGTGGTGTTTGATCAGGACAATGAAGTTATCTGTGTTCCTTACAACATATTTGAATTCAACCTCATGCACCAAAAATTATCATAAAGAAGCCAAACGCTTGCTTAAAGGCTGGATGTATTTGAAGACTGGAAGTGGCATTAGGTTTTTTAAGCATTTTAATGTTTCCTGGAATCGTCATGCAAACTATCAGATGGTGTAACCTTGCAGGGGTTTATTGGCTAAAAATACATGATATTATAGACTGTTTGAGAGTTGGAGGTCTTTATTTATTGCCTCGCTATTAACTCTGATACAAACTCTGGGTGGTGTACATGTTGTTCCCCAACTTTTCCACTAGAGTGCACTCCTATCAACAGTTTGAGTGCATAAAGGTCCTCTTTTGACCAGAGAGTCCGGACAATTCTGAGAAAGATTAAGTGAGCTACAGAAGAATTAGCCTATTATGCAATATTTGCACAACATCATGACAATATTCGACTGCAATGGGCTGGTTCTCTATTCATCATCAAGTGTCTCAATCCATTCCTGAGTTTGTGCTTCATTAGCACAACAAATGTTGGGGAAAATCTCTGGCCATATTAGATCCAAACATACCACAAATCAAACAGACTAAGCACTAATCATATTCATAGAGAGCCATTACACACAGTATCTTCATCCTCCAGCATACTATAACAACCTAAAGCCAATTATTTCAGTTATATGTCAGATGTTTTATGAAAATTAAGAAGTTGTGTAGGGTGAGCAGCCCAGTTTTGAAAGGTCAGTTAAATATCTCTAGCTAAAGTTTAGGAAACAGTGTAGCTTGAGCCAAGCAGCATAATCCACAGGCCCAATCATGTGGATGTAATTACAGTGCAGTGAAGCAGTCACCTCATTTGCTCATTTCCGAGGTATTGCGTGGTGTAGGCTGCACCACCAGTTTACAAATCCTGTGTGTTCATCACTGATGTTGGCTTTCAAAGTCTAAGCTCCAGTTAAAAACACAGATGGTTTATCTGAAATTAATATGCATTTTGCATGAGCCCTTTTTAAATTAAGATTAGAATGTAATTTGCATGTGTCAGAAGTGATACTACGCCTTTAGCTACCCTCATGTGTTTTGAATATAATTGTAATTTTGCACAGGGCAATAGAAAATGAGGGGAGGGACATGACAAAGGAAACATTTAAACAAGAGAGCTCATTGTGTTTGGCAAACAGCAGTAACCACTGATATCGTTAGAGCTGACTCCAGGCCTGTGCTGAAAATGCTTTAAAATCCTCCCTTTCCTGTAACTTTACCTTGATGTTTAGAGATACATGTTTGTGGCCTGAAGAAAGTAGATCCAATCTAGTTTTGCAGGGACAGAAAGACCCACAGTAAAATACAGCAGATGTAACATTTATAGCTTTAAATGTTTATTTCAATGTGAAGATAACTTTGTTTCCTACACTTGAATCTGTTTTCACTCCTCTGTGAAAGACTGTAAATGTTTACAACTGACATGCTGTCACTCCTTGGTGGTTTGCAGAAATTGAGCAACCTTTGGTTCTGACTTGACTTTTGTAGAGCAGTGCAACTGAGAAACATGCAAAACTGAGTAAGTGTTAGCCCCTGTGGATTTAGAGGTCATGTAAGTCTCCTCTTTTTTATCTCATTCCAGTCACAGCCGGGCACCTCTCACTGTTCCTGCCCCAGTCAAAAGTCATTAGCATATCCAGCTCTTTCAACTCGTTCAAAATGCAGCATCGAGGATTTGAACTGGAGCCAAATGAAAAGATCATAAACCCTAAATTTGAATGTCTCTCCACTGGTTACAAGTTAGGTCGTGAAGTGATGCTGGGTTTACGGGGTGTTTCAACAACAGCCAGGTAGATGTTCAGTGACATTACAAAGCACTGACTGCCCTGTGTGCAGAAAATGTAGATCCTGAAGCCAAGACTAAAAGCACAGTGGGTGCGGTTCAGCCATCAGTGCTCCTACAGTGGAATGAGCTGCCTGAAGCTAGAAACTATTTTTCCATTTAATTATTTTGATGTTATTTAAAATGTAATATTTCAAATTTTAAATTCAATTTTATGGGGAAATTTGACATTACTTATTTATTTGCCTCTGCAGCACTTTGGGGTTAATGAACATGTAGAGCACGGATAGAGACAGTTTAAAGAGTTCAACGAAAAATGGCAGTGGAGGTAGAAAAAACAAAGGTGGTATCCTTTGAGAAAACCTTTACACAGACCAGCCCAGCAACTCCTGATGGAAACCAGATGACGGAGAGCAGGGGTCACAGGATATATCCCTTTTCCTCTGGGGAAACTCCCTCCTCAGACCACCGATATGAGACGGGTGATGCAAGACTCCTGCTACTCCAAGACTGACCTGATTATTCTGACCAAGTAACATGGCTTTGGGGACTAATTAAATGTTATTCAGAAAGACATGTATTTATATCTTTCAAAAGCTATGAATTGCACATTAAAGTGGTAGATCAGCATGTTATGTGCGTGTTGCACTGTTCTCAAACACACATTTCATAACATGCATGTCAGAGTGTAGGTCGGCTAGGTGCAAGGTCCTCAGGACAGGTCATTTTCAGCTTTGTATTATTATTATAACAGTAAAGGTGAATGTGTGTTTTATAGTGTGCATAGTGCTGATAGTGGCAAATGTTATCTTTTTGGGTGTATCTGTTAATATTGTGTCCCAGTATGTTTATTTTCTGTTGCCTTTTGTGTACAGTTGCCTTCTTGTCTCGTCTTCCTGTTGTTATTCTTCCTTTTCCCTAAATAGATGTGTAATGTGTAAATAATGCAGCCAGTGGTTTACTGTGTTTCTTCCTCTTTAGAGACTGGAATGTGGAGAAAGTCAGGCCGTGCTCTGTGTTGACCCATGATAGATAAATCTGACCAGAATTGACCCAGGGGCAGATAGAGCTGTGTTTATGTGTGACCAATAAATTCCGTAAAAGAGATTATCTCTTTGATGCCACAGCAGACGTTGCAGGCGGCTTTTAGGATTAGCTGCTGTAAAGCAAAACAAAAAAGTTGCAAGACTAATACCAATTTTGTTTTTTTATGAAAAAGTGCAGGCAAGGCCTTCATTGAGAAGTCTATATTTTATAAACATAAATAATGTATCTTAAGTTGTTTTTCCCCTTAAACTTAATATTGAAAAGTTTGGAAAAGTACTAACTATAGTCAACAGATCATTTGGTAAATATTCCAAGATTTATCATGTAAAAAGCAAAATATTTTTCTCATCCTAAGGGATCCAGCTTCTGGTGTGAAATCATTCAAAAGCATGGTACAGAATATCGGTCTTTAAAAACTGAAACAGGAATGCACATAACATTGAAGATGTTGTAATATCAGTAGTCCAAAGGATGTTCACTTTTCCAACTCAATATGCTTTCTAGAAAACACAATGTAAGCCAAACTGGAAATAAGCCAGTAATCCGTTAGAGTAACACAATCCAGGATGTGTTCTTTGACAAGCAAAGTCATGCTTTTCTCTCACATACCTCATTTCAGACGCTGTAGATACAAAACAGATAACCTGAAACAGTTTCAAGACCACCTGGAAAAAAAGCATAGTTCCTATTGTATGTTGGTATATTAACAGTGCTGTATGAAGGAAAATAATAATATACTGAGCAAGAAAATATATGAAAAATATCAGAACTTGACTTTGGCTAAGATGGAAGACTTGTGAACAGCTGATGGAAGTGTCCTAAATTCAGTGTAAGTAGTTTTTTAACAAAATACGACAATCAGCGTAATAAAACCCTTACTGTACAGCACTGACCATAAGCTGCTCCTCTACATGCTGAGTCATGGTGCAGTTTTTTTTTTTATGTGATGGGTCAATAGAAAGAGTTGTTTATTATTTCTGAGAAGTTGGACCTTTTGCTGAGGCGAGGTGATTTAAGCCACAGCAATATTTTGGGAAAACAGCAGTTCCCAATCTTTTTCTGACCTTCATGTGTAACGTATGTATTATTGTTTTCTTGCTATGCGGGTCAGTTCAGGACAGTGACCAGTTCACACTGCAATCTGATACAGGCCTCATTAAAAAAGTAATGTGAACAGCCAAAAAAAAAAAAAAAAAGATGTGATTAGAATTGAGCACTAAGACTTGCAGTGGCAATGTCGCATCAGAGGCACAGAGTAAAGATATTACTGTGTTTTCCAAAAATGATTTTCTTTCTGCTTTTAATCAACTTTAAACCCCATGGCAAAGTCCAGATACTGTCTTAAACAACGATGTGCCACCAAGTGTTTAATATGAGCATCAAATTCAATCAAAAGCATGGACCTTTGCTAATATTGAGGATCAAACTCAATAAATACAATGTAAAACCCAAATCGATGTATTGCATTTTCATTGTTTAAGCCAAATGTAATTGTCTTTAGGATTTACCGAATGCATAATAATGACAAATGTTTTAGTGGCTCTTAGAAAAACAAGCAAATCTTTTGTGGCCTGTGACGAGTTGAGCTGATCTTTTGTTTGTCTGAAAAACAAAACCTCTGTGCTGAGCTGCAGTCCGCTGACACAGTGCCTTGGTGTCTATTGTCACGGCAGCACGACGAGCCAGAGGGCATTCAGAGCACTGATATTTCAGTATCACTGCTGTCAAATGAAAACTTCAAATCTCCTTCAACTCTTCTAGGAATACAAAACCAGGTTATGTTCAAGTAAATAAACAATTTTAACTTTTAACGTTCTAAACAAAAGCTTAAGAAACTACTTTCTGAAATCAGTCTTGGGTTTCACAGCCTCCTGCGGGAATGGAAAGTAAAACCGTGCAGCGTTCGCAGCAGCATGGGCTCATTGTTGAAGCAAAGTGAATTAGCTGCTTGGATAACTTGATCCTCCAGAGGATCTATCAGGGAAGGTCAAATTGTATTTGTTTGATAGTTGTTCAAGCAAGAGCAGAGCACTTAATAAAGACACCCTGGTTCTGCTTGCCTGAATTAATTATACACAGTTCAAAGCTTCCCTCTGCTTTGAAGTAATTAAATCTCGGAGCCAGACAACTGCAGAGAGGGAAGTGATTACCCTTTGATTTCTTTGCTCACATGTGACACACACCATATTGCAAACAGCACACCTAATCTTGAGTTGTTTTCAAAAAATAAAATTAGTTATGATGTTTAAAATGTTCTGTCTACTGTTGGTGTGCTCTGAAAAACAAACTTAGAACAATAAAACGAGCTAAAACAAGAAAAGCCCCTTTTTATTCAGTAAAAGCTGAGGCAGAGAAGTCTTGTTCAAACTTGAATAAATGTGAACTGCTGTTTGTTTAGTAGCAATTACATCACAAACGTGCACTTAAAAAATGCTAGCAATTGCAGTTTTTTCAGACATCAACTGACTGAATACAGTCTCAAGGTCTCTATTGACCCAGCTTTATCCACAGAGAGCCACCTGTAAAATGTCTCTTGTTCTCCCGATTACTGCCGCTCTTCCTGTGACTATCACCGTATTTGTGCGATAACATTACTTCAAACCAAAGATGCCATGAGGAAAGTTTCTTCATTGACAGTGCTCTGCAGACGTATTAGAACTTGTCTGTTTTTCTTTAATTTCATGGGAAATTGACTTTCTATGTCAGCAGTTGGGCAACCATGTCCCAATTCAATGTCACTGCGTGCATTTGCGAGTTCAGCATGATTTGTTTGTCAGTGTCAAACAAATGTCAACATTTCTGTCAAGACCTCTATTGATTCCACCTCTGAGAGAAAGTTCTTTACCTCCACCGGCTGTAAAACATTGTCAGTTCTCTAATAAATTGTGCTTCATTGTGTGTTTTCTCTTAACAGAACAGTAATCACATATATACAACATCGCTGTTGTCAGCTGGTCTATAATGTAGACCAGCTGATGTGTTGACATGCAATCTTTATAATGTATCATAAAGATTGCATGTCAACACATTTGTGCATGTCCCAGACTACACAGAGGGACAGTGTTACTGAAATGTAAATATACATGTGACTTGATTCAGTGTAGCTTTCTGATTAAGTTCCACTGACATTTCAGTCATATCTGACATTCTTAAACACATCATTTCACTTCAAACCATCATAATTTAAACTGGGGAGTGTGTTTAGCTACAATGGTGGGTCCAAAGTGAAAAGAAAATCCCCTCACTTTTAATCTATAACTTTATTTGTTGTGCTGTTGCATTTCCTGAATGTCTTTGCAATTTCACAGCGATGGTGAGAATCTTTATCTCGGCGCTACTGAAGGCACCCGGGTGCAGTTTCTGATGGATGACTGGTTCTTTAGGTCTCAGCATGTCTGCGCTTCAGGAGATGGACAAAAAAAACACAAACATCTGGAAGTGTTTTCTGCAATGAGGTCAATCCACTGAGGGCTCTCAGGCAGACTCCTGAAGAGAATAGAGTTGTATGCACACATTCACACATTCAGAGGCATACAAAGACTCAAATACAAGACAACAGTGGGGACTTTGGCTTGTTTAAAGAGCTTCTAAATGTCTTCTGTATTCTGAGGCACGTACAACTATGATGCAATCTGTGTAAAAACCCTTTGGTTTAGTCACGCGTCTATTGGCTGTTTCTGAGTGTCCTGGGGTAAAAGATGTGTCACAGAAAGGGGGGCACAATGTGAATGTTTTCTCTGTCTCAAAGGACAAAAACTCATTGCCAGACACCACACAGGAGATTTGTAAGCTGCCATTACTGAAACCCGGCTCCCTCTTTCTCCTTTCTCTACTCGTCTCCTTCCCAGTCACCTCCTTGGCAGGGTACCAGCCCAGTGTAGCACGATATTCTGCCAAAACCCGGCGTTTCTGCCCTCTTTACTATTTTTTAAGGACCATTCAAGACCACAAGTGTGTGTACGTGTCTGTGAATCACACTTTCAAGTAAATAAAGATAAAAAGGCTCTATACGAAACGTGTTACTGAGTTGTAAAAAGTGAAGAAACTGCTATGAGGGTAAACTGCTAAGATCTAAGCTTTCCTCTTGTCCTGTAGAGACACACCCTGCTATGAGTCAATCCTGTGCATAGAAACAAATCACACATTGAAAAACAGGATCTCTAGCAAAATGTGCAGTGTCGGCAGTGACGCGTTATTCCCTCGTTTTATTTTTAATGTGTGTTCATGCTTCTTCACCGACACACCCAACAATTGTTGCTATTTTTTACAACCACAAGTGTGAGAATAGTCAATGTATTACACATATGATTCACATATATATAAAGTTATATACAATATAGTTACATACATACAAATATAAACTTCTACACATAGACTGGGCTCATCTGACTTTCGATTAACCAACTCAAAAGGCGGATTTCCTTTACAATTTCGAGAACCAAAACACTAAATACCTCAAGACTTTCCATATTGCGGACATTCAAAAACCCAAATATGCAGTCTTGAGGCTGATGATCCTCTTAGCTCCACAGAAATACCACAGGAATGTCAAGGTAAGAGTACACAAGACAGCACCGTGCAGCTTGGTGTTTATACATCAACATCGACACAAAGTATACTTGCATCACTTCATTTCCAGCGAAAGTTGTCCTACTTCATTGGTCAAATTTGTTCAAAACAGGTGTCTTGCTCAACTGGAGACTAATTTGACAGCAAGTCAAAATAAAGTCCTGGTCAATATGGTCACGGCTTGTTTGCTCCTGTTGTGTAATGTCCTGAAAAACTAACAAAACACTGATCAGTGAGCACCGTGCCAAGGGCTGCACGCACCTAAATTGCAAGGGCTGCACATCAAACTTAGTGTCACTATGAAGATAAATTGTAGAAACACAATGGACAAGTTGTCAGACTTGTGTTCGTGGAAACAAATTCAAGTAATGAAATGGTCGTTTTGTGGGTGTAACAAGAAAACATCTCATTTTACTCAACTACGTTTAGTTACAGTGTTTGTAACAAGACTTTACTGTAAGCTTCCCAACCAGACCGTGCTCAATATAATAATTATATTCCTTGGATTGTACAGTTTCACATTTTTGGCAAATGCACTATTTAGCTTTCTAGCAGAGTGTTAGTTAAATAAGAAGACTGAGGCCCCTCTGAGCCGGTACTCAGTACTGCTGAGTACCATTTCTGATGAGCATGGCTGTACTGACCACTGAGGTCAACAGTATTTTTCAGAAGGGCTATACAAAAACAGTTGTGAAATAATTGTCTAAAAATAACTACTTTGATGCGTTGATGCCCCAAAACAAGTTCAGCAAGTTCAGTTTGTGGACATTGGTATATCTAAAGCCCTGTGTATAGCAATCCTGCTGAGGGACTAAACAACTGCAAAACTGTGTCTTTGTGTTAACACATAGATCGCTTAACACTAAACTTTAAAGATGTCAAAAGAATTAGGGTTAGGACTGTGTTGTGTGTAGGGATAGCATTGTGCAGAATTAGGATACTGGGACCTCCCTTGATCCAATTCACTTTGCACTAATCTAAATAACATGTTCTATCTTTTTGCTTTAATGCACACAAAACTCAAGTTGTAAAAACAACCGTTTGTGGTTGTATCTCCGCTGGTTGCCTTGAAACCTCACTGTGACAGCAAGACAGCAAAGAGTACTTCCCCTTACAACCACACCACAACGTTGTTTTTAGACTTGGTTTATGTATGGATTAAACAAACAAGATATAACTTATTAATTAGTGAGCTTTGGAAGTACTAGTAGGTGAATTTGTTGTTACCTTTGGTCAAGATCAGGCTAGCTGTTTCCCTCTGTTTCCAGTCTTTGTGCTAAGCTAAGCTAACTTGAAGCTGGTTAGCTGTCAATCTTTTGAACTAACTCTCTGCTAGAATGCGAATGTGTGCATCACCCAAAATGTCGAACTATCCCTTTAATCATTTCAATAAAACATCACATTCAAAGTCAAATGATAAATCGTAGTGGTCAACAGTCATGAAATATTCTTCAATGGATATTAGGAGCAATGCAGAGAAGGTTTTATATTAGACTGGGTGATATTTAGGCCATGTGTAAGTGCATCATTAAAAACAATACCACGACTGGAGCGAGTGCAAATAACTCTTAATATGGTCCCATTTTAAATGAAGTTCATGACATGAGAACATTGTCTAAAGTTTTGATGAAAATAAGTTGTTCTGTGCTATGTAAAATGCTGTACATTTTGTTATTGTGTTTCAAAAAGCTACAGCATTTATGATATTTGTGTCAAGAGTTCATGAAGGCTACATTAATAAACCTTTAAGACATATTCCAGTTTCACCTCGGAACAGAGGCAATAAAGTGAGAAACACAAAAAAAAGTGTTTTGCATATCAAAGCAGATAAGGCACAGCTCTGGCATCAGGATTGTAAGGGCCGGGAGATATTCTCTATCAGGACTAGTTCGTACAACGTGTTGTCCGAGCACATTGTAAATCAAAAGTGTTTGTAGTTGCTCCGAATGGCTACACTAGAAGGCAGCATGAGAGGCCAGCCATCATAGATGGGTGGGGGGGGGGATCGATTGTTCATATGAGAAGTTACAGAAATAGTTGTGTCATGAATTAAAACAACTGTGTAATGTGGGTATGAATTTCAGCTTCGGGAAGTTACAAAAATGGTCGGACACAGCCAACGCCAGTCTGAAGTCTGGAATATATGGGGGTTGTGGATTTCCGAAGCTCTTCGACCATCCGACAAGCACTTGTGATGGAGTATCCCTAAAGGAGCGGTCCATTTCCACAGTCTCACAATACGATACCATCCACATTGCAGTTCAGCACCTCATTGTGTTGGACTTGACCCAGCTGCCGGTGGAACTGTCCCTGTTTCTGGGTCCTCCAGCAGTTGATGCTCTCTCCCAGTGTGATACTCTTAATACTGGGCAGGTGGGTCAGCATGTTATTTGGCAAAGACACCACTCCAGAGCCAGACAAATTCAGCTCTTGCAGTGAGTCTAGTCCGCTAAAAACCGCAGGGCTCAGAGCCTTAAGCTTGAGGTTGTTTGAGAGATCCAGAACTTGCAGGCTCTGGAGGCCCTTGAAGCTTTGTTGCTCGATTTCCTGAAGCTCATCGAGGCCACTGATGGATAAATAAACCAGATCTTTCAGCTGAGCGAAAGCTCCCTCCTTGATGCAGGTGATAGGGTTACCATCTAGATTGAGGTACCTCAGCGGAAGTCCTGCCAGCATCGGTACGCTCAACATCCGATTTGAAGACAGATTTAAGCTTTGGATGTGCGATATTCTTCCATGCGAAGTCGTGGTGACAGACACAAGCTTGTTATGAGACAAATCCACCGTGACAGGTTCACCATTAACTTTAGTAGTGAACACGTCCATGTCGAACTCTTGGAAGATGTTGTGACTGAGGTCAACTTCAGCCAGAGGGAGGCCAGAGAAACACCTCGGGGCCAGGCTCTCCAGGTTGTTGTGGCTCAGATCCAGAGTCTCCAGGTAACGCAGCTTGGACAAAGCATTGGGGCTTACCTGAAAATGTGGCAAGGAAGAGGTGAAAAAAGAGAAAAAGATATTTTAAGAGTTAAGCAGTGGCAAGGTTAAAGACAAAGTGAAATATATAAAATGAGATTTGACATATATCTATGTGTCAAGGTCAAATATATGCTTATATTTATAAGTATTAGGTATTTATGTATAAAAATCCCTAATTTCTTTGCTTATAGAACACTTTTAAATATTATATTATATCCAATGACTCCTGCAATATATACACATACATATACACACACACACATACAATATACACAAATGTATCCAATCACCCGGACACCCGACAAATATAAATACAGCACACGCTCCTGAGGGAAATATCTTGCTCTTAAGCTGCGAAGCTGCTCCCTTTGTCTGTCTGCCATTTGTTGCCTAGGAGTTATATTAAGTGGGGTTTTATACAGCTACAATCACTATAAATGAGAGTGAACCAAAACAATGAACTTGTAGGCATGGACCAATTGGGAAATTCTTGGCTGATACTAATGTTTAAAATAACAATTTGACCAATAGCCAAGGCAAATACCAATGTTTTTTAATGTTAATGTAATTTGTGCTGGAAAACAGGAGTGAGTACTTCTACAAAGTCCAGAGATTTAGCCAGATCAACATAACAGATAACCTTCAGCCACCGACATCAGTAAATGTCATCTTACATATACAGATAGGCCGATGTCAGTCAATAAGGAGAATATCAATATACCACTGACCTTTGTTATATGGTTGCTGCTTAGATCCAAGCTAACCAGGGTGGTGTAGCCTGGACCAGATAACATGGTGTCACTGAGCGGGCCCATGGAGTTGGAGGACAGGTCAAGGTGGGCAGTGTCCAGTGGGATGGGGATGGGCATGGTGGTGCTGGGTCCCAACCCTCTGCAGTCCACCCTGGTCAGGCTGAAGCTGTCGAACAGGCCGAAGCTCTCCACCTCACAGCGGCAACCAGGGTGGCAGTTCTTGACAGCGCTGGACTGGACAGAGGCCAGCAGCAATAAGCCAAGCCACAAGAGGAGTGCCATTATGTTCTAGAGCGAGAGAAACAAAATCAATATTTACATTTGACTCCCACTGAGGATGAAAGTGTTCTCTAATGAAAAATATCCTTTATTATGTTCAAACCAGCTTTCAAGCTACAATCCTCGTCTGGGAAAGAAAAATGCACAACCTCAACCACCAGATCAGCTCAGTACATCCTGTACTACTTCAGTACTACTTCACAGAACACCTTGTCTTGTTTGTGGTTTTAGAAATCCGAGGAGCTGTCCCTGTTCAAATGGCATCCTCGAGGTATTTGTTGAGCTTTGTGAAAAGACTTTAAGCTTTTATTCGAGAAACTTGAGCAGCCCCAATTTCCCTTCCTCCTGGCTTCCCAACGGGTGTGACCTAATTTCTTTTGATCAAAGAGTTCATTTGCACTTTCTTAGTTTACTCTGTATGCATGATTGTACAAAATGAAAATGTGGGTATATATCCCTGTTCCATCTTACAATGAGGAGAAATGCGATGTGCCCACTTTCTGAGCACATCCTCTGAGCCACAGAGCATTAATATGAAATAAAGCAAATTCAGAAACAACTTCTCTTTCTGCAAATGATCCTGCCATATGGTCTATTACTACATAAAAATAATAAACAAAGCAAGCAGTCAAAAAATATGAATCAATAATTTTAAATATAATTAATCATAATAATAAATCATTCAAAACTCACAAAGAAGTGTGTAAATATATAATAAGTGGATGAAGAAGAACCTATCATACCTTTCTTTAAACTGTTTCTGCAGCTGTTGCTGTTGTCCCTCTGTGTGTATCAGTCATATGTAAATGAATAGAGTTCACCCACCCAACTTAAGCAACGTGTACAAACACACATACGCGCGCACACACAACAAACACTTGAATAAGTTTGAAAATTGGACAGAGGTTAAGAGTTGTGTAACAGACAGAAATGAAAAGTCATAGTCAAAAGGATCCAGGCATGACACAGCAGAGAAGGTGTCAAACATGCAACTCAAATTCAACCTTTTTCCTTTATCCACCTGGTTTTTATTCTAAATGAATATAAACTTACATAAAACTTTTTATTATGATACTTTAAATTAAATAAAATTAAATCAAGCCCTAAATGCATTTAAAGCTTAAGTCAATCTCTAAATTGGGGTTGAGACACCAAACAGCAGTTACTGATCTGGCTGTCACTTGGCACAACCTTATAAAGGATTGTAGGGGTCTGACATGACATTAACAATAAACTTTTTTTTTTTTTTTTACTGTGAGCACTTCTGTTCAAAATTCAGTTTGTATATTTCAGTTTACTCTTGCAAAAAGCAGGAAAATAAAAATACTCTTTGATCCCCAGACAGACATTTGTTTTAAATTCTGACTTTTTAGGGTATGCAGGAAAGACATACTGAGTGACTGAGGTTGGGCTGTGGCGGTCATCAGGTAGGCTCTGTCTAACAGGGGTTAAGATTGTTTATCTTGGCTTATGTAAGAGGATGAGGTTACATGGCTGCATAGTACTTGTGGGTCAACTTATGCAGGCTGATTACAATGGCTCAAAGTCTACTTAGGCAGAGCTGTTCACCTCTGTGCAGTGTTTCTTTTGTTTTGACCCTTGAACTCTCTAACGACTACTGGCTGCTTCATACTTGGAGTGCTTAAATGTGATCAACTGAATGCTTTTAGTCTATCGTTTCACTCACCTGCCTTTGTGATAATAAAAGTACTCAGGGTTTGATGTTTACTGCCATGTATTTTTAATCTTTATGAATATTTTAATAATTATTTTCTTCTGCTACATAAAGGATGTAACTTTATTTTGAATAATGGTAATAAATTTGGCTTGAAGCACTTTTCAACTACACTTTACATAAAGAAAACAAGCCGAAACAAATAGTTAAAAGGACCGGTAGCTATGTAGGTTTTAGTGACATCTTGTGGCGAAGTTGCAGATTACAACTAACTGAAACTTGCCTCAACCAAGAGTGCAGGAGAAACTACGAAAACAAGAAAAGGCCCTATCCAGAGACAGTGTTTGGTTTGTCCACTCTGGGCTACTCTGTGGAAGAGGAGCTGCACACTAGATAGATAAAACAGCTCATTATAAGATAACGAAAAACACAACTATTCTTATTTTCAAATGATAATACACTAATATAAACATACCTATAAATATATAAATATTATTATAAATGTTACACAGTGGACTTTTAAAAACTACTGAAAAACACATTTTTGAAAGCTTGGTTGAAGTTCAGCCATAGTTCATTATGTACAAATGCCAAGTTCATATCTGGAGGTGTTTCTGAGTGAGTCCCTCCCGCTGCACGTTGGGAAATGGGCCATTATTAAGCTGACTAACAAGATGCTTTCTGGTTAAGTTCTTCAAAAGCTAAATAATAGTCCACCCATGGAATGAGTCACTCATAAAGGACAGAGGGGAAACATGGTGAATTCATTCTCTAACTTTTTTTTCAGGAAATTAACTTTACACGTACAGTTTCTATGGTAACTGCCAAACCTTTTGCGCACGTATCACATCACTAGCTGTCATTAAAGAAATTATGATAAAGTCCTTCTCCGCCCTCTCTGCAATTACAAGTCTTGTTTCACCTCAAGCAAACTGCAGGGCTCAAAGACATCTGCCTCATCGGGAAACCACAGAGAAGCCACATGCAGACTAAACATGGGAAACTGCCAGTAAAACCAAGTGGTCATACATTTTTTACGCCTACCACATTGGTCTTCGGCAGCTCGTCACCTCTGTGTGGTTTTGCAACCACGTTCATCCGTCCCTCATTCCTTTCCTGCGTCCTTTGCTCCATCTGTTGCCTCTGCGAACTTTCTGCACCAGGTGTTCCTCTCAACCTGTCACCAATAAATCTCAGCTAACAGCAAACTGCTGCTGGCGCTGCCTTCAAATCAGACACATTCTAACTACTGCAATTACCCAAAAGGTTGCGGCAGTTTGAGCTGCAAACCCCCTGAGTGGACAATTGGCAAAGACCTGTGAAATCACACCCCAACACCTTCTCACTTTCAGGCCTTTTCACACCTTTTTATCCTGGGAAAGCAGCACAACAAGCCCTGCTGTCCTCTGAGGACAATTAGCCATTAGTTGTTTATTTATTTATTTACCTTCCTACAGATTATGTATACAGCTGATGATTACTTTTCATGGCATGATTTTTTTTTACTAAACTACAACTTTTATCACCTCACAACTACATGTAAACTTTGTTACTGTGATAATCCAATTACTGTAGTTACCAATATAAAAGCACAACTTTTATTGCCCACGAGCAAGATACATATCTAAAGTCAAAACGTGATGTTTCCAGCTTTTCTTTATCTAAATGCATGCAGGAATAAATAAATAAATATGAAACGGCACATGTACGTTTAACAGATTTAATTGCATGTATGTCAAACTTCCTCTTGTGCTTTATTTGTTCAGTATCCTCCAGTGCTCTGATGTATTCTTCATGTCACTGAGGCTGCTCTCTCCCAATTTAATCTTCAAGTTGAAGACTGAAAACTGTGTAATTAGAAGATGGATGCCACACTAATCCTTTTAAGCCAAATGAATGCATGACGCTGAGGAGGAGGCAGTGCGTTTAAATTAAACTGATGGTACTTAAGTGTTTTAAAACAATTAGGCAGCAATGGGATGCTTACAGTCTCGGTGAACAAATACATTCACAGGCAGGGAGACTGATCAAATTCATCAAAGTACATCTTAGCAAAGTTTGAAGTGAAAGGAAAAGTGATGAAAGAGTGACTGGAGGTGTAGCTTACAGCATGGCCTGAATATAATGACCACTTTTGTCAATGAGACAGTATGATGTAATAGGTTAACTTCACTGTAGGCTGATCTCTGGCAATAAGGAGCACAAGCTTACATTTGTGTTGTGTTGAGTGTTTCAGACAGGCCTGAGGCTTTTTCCCCAAGTTGATTTCAGCCAGAACCAATTATCACAACATATATGCTGGTAACAAAGTGCTGACGTTGATATTAATATTATTAGTCTAACTTAGTAGAGTAGGAAAGAAAGGGCCAAAGCCTTTCGGTCTATGTCGGTATTATAAAAACAGCACTCAGGGACATTAACTGTACTAGTATATTTCTATTTAATGCTACATTATACATTCACTCCACTACATTTCAGAGGGGCATGTTGTTCTTTTTACTCCACTACATTTATCAGAAAGCTTTAGTTACTATTTCGTTTTGTGGATTAAGATTTTACCTAAAAACAGTTTCAAATAAAATAAAATAAAATATGATGCTTAAAGTACTTAACAGTATATAAAGTAGTTATCACCTCCACTAGCTATATTATGAAAAAGCTGCTTAAATAGCAACCCATAACTAATAATAATCTAATATAAAATATAATGATATATATACCATTCTGCTGCATAAAGAGCACCTTTAGAGTGTTTTTACATTGCAGTATTGCTACTTGTACTTCAGTGAAAAACCCTGAATGAGTTCTTGTTTTCGGTGTGTATGTCAGTTTTGCAGTCTGTTTACGGCTGAATGCCCTCTTCTCTATAATAAAACTAAATTTGTATAATAAAAACAGTGTAACCACCACAGTGAACCTCTGCCATGCCCCGGGAAGTTAATGAAGGAGGCGGGTATCCACCCACTGCATGGGCACCTCTGCAGATCATATTTCTCGCAGCCGTACGTGGCAGACCACGGAGAGCTGCTGCAGCCCTCTTCTGGCATAAACTATCCAAAACAATTATCACAGGTCTCTCTCTCTCTCTCTCTCTCTCTCCCTCCCTCTCTCTCCGAGCACCGTTAACTATAACTTCAATGTCAACCCCGCCCCTTTCAGCTGTCAATCACAACTCCACATGTCACCTCGGCGCGCATCATTCCCAGGAGTTTTTGCACACTCGCGAACAGTTCGTGTCTGTGTCTGAATAAATGTGCGGGAACAACACGCAGGAGCCCGGTCAGTGCAGTCGGGACACCAGGGGCGGTTTCTTAAACGCAGAGGCAAAACGTGAAATCTGATCTGACCACAGAGGTCCGCTGGTCTGCTGCGTTTGTGTCCGAAACTACCCCGCTGCTACACGGAGGTTTAACACACACTTTCCGTCAAACAGAGGCGGGGTAGAAGAATACAAACTGCCCAACTTTCATTACTTTTCTCCTCAGCTGGCGTCCCGAGTAACTTACTTTGGTGCCGTTCCTCCAGACAGTCAGCTTTTCGGACGTTTTTCACTTCACCGCTCCCATTTTCCGGACCCCCGCAGCGCTCCCGAGTCCCGCTGGTTTGTGTGTCTGCCGGTCCGCATGAGCTCCGCCGGTCCCTGTGTGTGTCTGCCCCGCCACGATAAACTGTCAGGAGCTGGAAACACTGGGACACACTCGCCCGTTCCCATCCCAGAAAAGTCCTCCGCCTCGCTTTTTACCCCTGTCAAGACCGCCAGCCTACAAAACAAGAGCACTTCCTGTCAATCCTTTCCAAAACAAAATGCTTCAAAATGCAACTTATTTTAAAAATGTTTTTTGTTTGGGGAAATATTTCCGCTAAACGTAGCCCGTTCATATGAATCCGTTAGGTTTATCATTGCCTTGGTTACTGTTGCCAAGGTGGTTTTAACGTCAGTCCAGAATGTGGAATTAATTATTTCAGTTGGTTGCTCCATTGACCAATGTTAAGCTTTTATTTTTAAGGCCCACACGTGTAACTTCCGGTCTCGGTCTACTGCTTCATGTAGTTTTGACGCTGTTTGTCAGTGCGCACTCTAGTGGAGACGCCGCAAACAATCCCACATCAAAACAAAAGCTAAAAACTGTATTGCGCAACAAGGCGACGGTTTGTTTCTTTTGGCCACATTTCACATGTTGATAAAACTGATTCAGAGAAATAATGTGAACAGGAAACCCAGACCTTTCCTGTTGCTGCCTACGCAGCATGTCTGGCCTGGTTCTTTACAAAAAGAGCCGTTTGTGGGGTAAGCGACATTTAGGTTTATTGAAAGTTTATTTCTAACATGTATAACAGAGTCAAAGACAGTGTGCTACAGATCATTACAATGTGCTAGACTGTGACAGAAAATGTGTGTCAAATTCAGGAAATCTGCAATTTCTCAACACAATTTCAGACAGGAATGATACAGGAGAGTCAAACACAACCTATAACAGGACAACTGTGCATTTACTGTCACATGCCTCAGAAAGGCTATAGAGACATTAGGCTACATCTGTTGCTTGAGCACTGTAAGGAGCTCTCCAAAAGAGAGGCCAGGCACACACAGGTCAAGTGTGATGAATTATGGTGAAGATCTGTTGCTGCTCACACAATGCTGAGGGGCCTCCGCTCTTCATCAGCACCCTCAGCTATTGTTTTCCTCATGAGAGCATGACAGAATTACAGCACACACCCATACAGCACGACATACAAATTCACTTACACTTGTAGTCTCAGGGGTACTACACACGTAGTTGTCAAAAAATGTAGGGAAAAAAACATTATTGGTTTATCTTAAATAAAAATACATGTCGTACTGTAAGTTGTTAAAGAAAGGGGAACCTATTTTGATATGTCATTTGTTGATACACATGCAGGCCTAGATACTTGTACACACACACACGCACACACACACACACACACACACACACACAAACACACACACACACACACACACACACACATACTTCCTGCATGTTGCAGTGTCTGGGAATCTTCAAGGCAGTAAAGATAAGATAGGGGAGCAGGCAGACAGAAAGCAGGGGGCTGTATCAGTCCAAAAAAAGAACAAAAACAAGAAAAACAAGATATATCTTGATAAATGTCCAACATAAAACACTGCACATGTATCATCATAGCACATTATAAAGACCTACAATGGATTTGTACTGGTTAAGAAAGTTACAAAAATGTGTTGCTTGTTGTACAGAATTTATGAGCTCTTCTTAATTGAGTTGTCCCCTTTTGTTAAGTAGGAGTGTTATGGAAAATATCCCTATTTCATCTAGGTTGAAAGATTAAGTTATTGAGTCTTTTTTTACCATCCTTAGAAGTAAATCGTAACCTCAGAGGTATAATCTCTGATACATATACAATTGGATCTACTCCCTTTATACCCAGTGCCAAAATACAATAAGGGTCATAGACAGCTTTTCCACTAGATGGCACCAGAGATAAAGACATCCTATCATAAATTCACTGCAGTTGCACAGAAGGTTCATGAAGCACTTCAGAGAAAACAACTTTTAAACACAGAAGGACTTTCAGAGGTCAGTGAAGATGCCACATGCCAATAGTTAATAGTATCCCAGCATTCAGTATTAATTCATCTCCTGTGCCAGTTATGACTACCAAGTGTGTATTCTTGGTAGCTCTTCCTAAACCTGTGAATTATGTCCCATATAGGCCTGAGAGGGATATTGATCCTGCAGGAATCATGCTGAATAAGTTGTTCCAAAAGTGACAAAATTCCCCAAGCCCAAAGCCTTTTTACTCAAACTATTACTCTGCCTCGATGTAGACATACTCTTCAAACAATAGTCATGTAATTAATTCAATTGTATCTTATTTTGTGATTTTAAAGGTCCAATGCCATACCTCATAATTACTGACTTTCTCATTTTTTGTTGTAACATGAGCAAACATTCAAGGATGGACTATTGAGGAGTCTTTACCTTAATATGTAAAGTGTGAGTGACTGCAAAATATCAAGGATTTTGTTCTGTGGTGTCTTAATTCACCTTTCACTGGTGTATTTTTTCCACCCATCTCCTCATGTATCTTATTTTATCAATCCTTTATTGCCGACACTGCTTTCCCAATATTGTTGGAGTCTGATACATTTTGTAGTTTTGTTTATCTCTTAGTCTACTTTATTATGTTTTATTATCTTTATGTCATTATATCAGTTTTTGGTTTGTGGAGTTTGTGTTTCATTTCACAGAGTCTACAGAGCACAGAGCTTCGTCTCAGGAGCCGCATCAGATGTGTTGCTTTCACTGCTCGCTGGGTGGACATAGCGCTGAGTCGTCACTTCTGTCCTCTATTCCTGGATGCAGGACAGCGTTGTCAAGGTGTTACGTTTAAGAGGCTCATGAGCTTATATGGGATGTAGGTCAACAAAGGTGGAATCACTTTCTATCTCTATGTGCACACAATGCAATGTAATATTCCTGTAATATGTATAATACGTTTCTTTACTGGCTTGTTGTCTTTAGTGGTAAGTAGTCAGGTCTGAGTTTGTCCTCCAAACACACACAAACACACACACACACACACACACACACACACACACACACACACACACACAGTTAGAGACAGGCAAACTGATAGGGGAAGGAGAGAGAAGGGATAGATAGGCCTCTCTCTCTTTCTCGCTCTCTCTCCCCCCTCTCTCTATCTCACACACACATACACTCACAACAAGCAGCTTTAACCTGATGTTGTTTGAAGCATTCACCTTGGTTACTTAAATGCTTTTGTTGTTTCTACCTGAATTCAAACATAATTGGTGTATTTCATTTCCCCCTGATTTATTCTAACTGCAAGCATGTAACATAACCTGTTTAAGGCTAAAATGTAGTGTGTAATAAACACATCCAACCATGATATCAGGGAGTGAAGGCACCTAAACTCAGTTTATCATCAGGGTGGTGTTTTTCTGTATTATTTCTGGGACATAGTAACATAATTGGCTACATTATATAAAAGTCATTGTCACACATTGCTGCTTTCCTATAATTAACAACCAATTTTTGATTTATTTTGTAGCTATTTGCTTTATTATCACTGACACCAGCTACAGTATAATCACTACCAAGGTTCTGTTAAGTCATCCATCCAGCCCACGTTGCCTTTGACACTGTCATGCACGGATGATGTTGTGGCAACCAGCTGTTCCTGGACTCATTTGTCAGGCAGGTTGCTTCACCTGGTGGAGTCTTATAAAAAAAAAAAAAAAAACAGCTGAAAAGACTGACGCAGGCAAAACGCAGCAGAACTCAGGGGACGCACAGGGAGAGCCCTTCGTTATCTTTAATTACCACCACTCCACCAGGGTTCAAATTCATTTAATCTGTGGAACCTGCTGTACTTCGGGCATATTGCACCAATTAAAGCACGGTTCAGGTGTCTTCGTGCAATGTGGCTGAGGTGTCTCGGGAGTAATGAGCCCACTCTCTGCACATCAGAAAAATATTTGTTTGCTAAATCTTTTATATCATCATCATACATGAAAATTCATCAAGAAACAAAAAACAGAGGAGGCCTTGCTGCCTCTCCAGCCTGTACGATAACAAGGCTTTTAGAGTAGACTAAGGCCTGTTGTCAATCCTCTTATATTGTGCCTCACTGAAAATGGATTAGTGAGTAACACCTACGTTTTGGCCCCGGGTCACTTTGGAAGGATTTGATTGAATGGGCCTGTAGCTGACACTGGCCTCCTATTGATAATTGATAATACATCAAATGCGCTTCATTTTTTTTTTTTATTATTATTTAAATAACTCCTTTATAGAGCGCTCAATGGACCCGGTTTTCCTTTTTAACTTGATCTGGAAAAATGTGATATATTTTGTTTTTCAAAGGCGCATATGAAAGAAAAGAAGCCCGAGGAGCAGAGGTGTGTGTGTTTTTTTTCTTCTTCCCTCCTTCCTCAGATATGCTGCCTGTGAACAGAGGTGTTTGTGGAAACGCACAGGAGCCTGCAGAGGCGCTGACTGCGGGACATAAGTAGCTCTCCAGGGTCCTGAAGTTGTCTCCAAACGCGACAGACGCCAGCGCCCGAGATCTGCCTGTCACCTTCAGCCCACAATGACTTGGGCTTGTCTAACACATAGACAGCGGGGTGAATAGATAAGGGGTTTTGGGGATGGTTAGGTGACGGTTTGTGTGGATACAAAAAAACACAGATCCCAGAGGACACCTGTAAGACGTCTCTCATCGGACCCTGAAGCTGTCCTGATGAAATCAAATAAACGGTAAGTGGTTTTATTCTTCTAAATTTAGCTATTTCTGACTCATATTGGCTTTTATTTTTGAAAACAAGAAATGACCAAGACTTTTATTTTGTTTGCAGGCGGTCTAATTGATAATACTAGTGAACACAAAGATTCACTACCTTGGACACCCTGGAAGGACAATGCAACATATTCCTCCAAATTTCAGAGGGGCGCTATGGGAGTCCAACAATCCATGCATGCCCATAATTAAAAGCAGATCAACTTTACCGACGCTGCCCTTTTATAACTTTCTGTTATGGGTCCTCCTCGGAGTGTTGACGTTCCCTTGTTGTGTCCGCTGTCTGATATTCAAAGTGGGGGTCCTGGGGCCTTGGAACTGCGACCCTATTTACTACAGGGCCCTGCCCGCTGCTGCCGCCAGACTCGCTGTAAGCAGAATAAACGGAGACCTAAATCTGGACCTGGGCCTGCAAATGGACTTTATCATCCTCCAGGAGCCTTGTGAGACCTCCAAAGCCCTCACTGCGTTTATTTACTATGAGAATATGGCGGATGCGTTTGTGGGTCCCACCAACCCGGGATACTGTGTTGCAGCCTCTCTGCTGGCCAAGAATTGGGATAAGGCCATCTTCTCTTACGGCTGTGTTAACTTTGAGCTGGACCGAGTCATAGGATACCCGACCTTTGCCAGGACACTGCCGTTTCCCATTGAGGTGGTGTTCACCGTGTTGAAACACTTTAGGTGGGCCAGCGTTGTGGTGGTCTCATCCAACGAGGATATTTGGAGGGACACTGCTGGGAGGGTCGCTACTTCACTGAGGAGTAGGGGGCTTCCCGTTGGCCTGGTTACATCTATTGGTTTAAATGAGACAGAGGTGGAGAGCACGCTGAGGAAGATCCAGGCTGCAGGGGAGGTCAGGGGTGAGTCTGTGCTGAAATGAATACAGTAGCTATATTATAATGATACAATATCCCTGCAAGGTTATTATATGTATGTTGAACTGATACCAGAGGAGACAATCACAATAAGATCATCATACATCTACCATTAATATAGGGAATTTATAGAAATAAATCACACCACAATTATAATATGGAAACATGGGGAGCAGATATTACATCACAGCTTAACACATCCTCTTTAGTAGGCTTATCACTCCACCACCTGACCAGGAAGCCATTTTGACACTGCAGATTTCACCTTGTCCTCATGGTGAACTGGGACATCAGCTTTTAGCAGTAATAATTTATACTTTAGGGTTTTTTTTTTTTTTTTTTTTGCCTTTACTAGATCATAGAGAGCAGATCGGAAAGGGTGGAGAATAGTCCCTGCATGGATTCAATTATTATAGTAGTCAATGAAATGGTCAGCACCTTAACCCCCCAGGGCACCCCAACTTCTCATTTTTGTAGTACGTTTTACCCTGTCCAAGAGTTGAAGTGTTGTAACTAAGTGCATTTACTCCTGCTACTCAATTAAGTAGGTTTGTTGTCAACTTTTAGAGCACAACACACTTGACAGGTCCATTAGAGTACTCTTTCTGAAACTGCACTCGTCACTTACTGGCACATTAAATCATTGTGATGCTGATTTTTGTCATATTATCACTCTGCATACGTCCATCAAGCAAATAATTTAGCATGTGTTGTTTATTTCTTGTCTGCTTCAGTCATCATCATGTGCATGAACTCGATCCTGGTCGGAGGGGAGCAGCAGGCTACTTTTCTCCTCAAGGCACGGGAAATGGGCCTGACTATGGGGAAGTACGTGTTTGTGCCCTACGACACCCTCCACTACAGCGTGCCGTACACCAACGTCTCCTACTTCCCCCTGAAAAACAACAGCAGGCTGAGGGAGGCCTATGATGCTGTGCTCACCATCACTGTGGCCTCTGAGCCTTTGTCCTTCACCGAGGCTTTGAGCGCTGCCAAGAGGAGTGAGGAAGTGACGCTGGCTGTGCAGCCAGAGCAGGTAGGAAATTAAAGCCTAAAAGTGTACTAACTTGTCCGTATGTACATTGAAGTGATCCCTTCCTAGCACAATGCCAGTGCAAGAGATGGAAAACAAAATCCACAGTCCTTAATGTATGCAAAAAGAAATCCAAAACTTATATGAGTCAGTGTGAGTTTGACAAATTAATTGACAAACTTTTTTTTAAATAAAATTCACTCATTCTGTTTCTATCCCTCAACCACCCACAGCTGGAAGAAAGTAAAAGTTAATTCACATTTTACAAAAGACTGCTCAAAATGTGTGTATTTTGTAATGTCTATCACTATTATTTACAAAAGTGTCTGGGTTTGTGGTTGCTATTCACCACCCCATATACCCAACATAATCTTTTCACAGATACTTCCAATTCCAACTCTTAGCATACTAAAACACCCTCTATGTAAGCTCCACAAAAATTAAAATTTGTTGCTTAGCATTTCTAGAGAAAATTATTTCAAATAGTTGAAATATTCTACTAATACATCATGTGTTTTCTTGTGCCCCTTGCAGGTTAACCCACTATTTGGGACCATCTATAACAGCATCTACCTGCTGGCCAAGTCCATCCACAATGCCAGGAGAGCAGGCATGCGGCTGTCAGGCTCAAACCTCGCCTATTTCACAAAGAACACAACCTTCAGCGGCTTCAACCAGAAGGTCCAGGTGGACACAGGCGGGGACATTAAGACCAACTATGTCATCCTGGACTCTGATAACAGGGGGGGGCAGCTGTACCAGACCTATCTGGTGGATCTAACATCAGGGGTGCTTCGTTTTGCCGGGAGGTCCATTAATTTTCCAGGAGGATATCCGCCGCCATCTGACTCCAGCTGCTGGTTTGACAAGAATGCCGCCTGCACGGGAGGTAAGAGGCATAAATATGGGAGAATGTGGATATGGATAGATGTGTTTGCATCTTCACAGTTTTATGTCATATTCTCCATACATTTTGCCATTTATTCATCATTTCCCACAACATCAAGTTACTTGTTGTCATCCTCAGGTGTGGAGGTCACCTACATCATAGTGGTGTTGGCTGTCATCGTCACTCTGGCTGTAGGAGGGCTAGCTATAAGTCTTTATATCAGGTACAGCCTGCAAATACAAACACACTCATCTTTTCAGTCAAACCACTCTTCTGTACGGTACTTCTCCATCTTTCCCACCAATTTTAAGTATAGGGATTTCTATGGTGTTTAAATGCTTGAGAACAAGAAAGGAAGATGGAGTTTTGAGATTGTACCATTTGATAGTACTTGGTGCTCGCAAGAGAGGACTATAATAAGTTATCTCAAACCATACTATTGATTTATTTGACCTATGGCAATAGTGTGCTTTAAACAATGTAGTTAAATTATGTGAATGCCTTTTCCAAAAGTATAGACTTGTTTACTCATATCAAAAATCCTTATTGTATCTTATTTTAATCTTATTTTATATCTTCCCATCTACCATATGCCAACATGAGACTAACATTAGTTCTCATATTAGAATGAGCTTTTCTTCTTTTTCTTTTCTGGGGTAGTTTTAGGAAACCCACTGCTATTGGCTGAACTGATTTCCTTATCTTTTCTAAATCTCATTGGCAGGAGGAGACTCCAACAAATCCAGCTGGTCAAAGGTCCCAATCGGATCCTCCTGACCTTAGAGGATCTCACGTTTATCAATCCTCAGCTTAGCAAAAAGGTAAGAAGCATCACTGTCTCCATCTCAGTTCTCAAATTGTAGCACATTTAATGTATAGTCTTCGATTTTCCTCATTCATTGGACTGAACACAGAATATGAGAAAATGTGAACATTTGCTAAATAAAATGTTTCAAGATACTCATTCAATCATATCTTACCCTTGTTTTAATGTCCCACAGAAAATCACTTTAGAGGATCTGAGCGAGTCCAAGAGTGCTCTGGAGGAGAAATCTGCAGAACGCTCACATTCTGTAGTCAGCATGCAGACAGCAACTCATGAGACCACCAGTGTAGCTGTGTACGAGGTAGGTGGCACTGAAGGAGTCACTGCACTTGTAGCTTCAGCCAGAGTGTATACACAATATTTTAAAATGAGTGAGGAAACTCTAATCTAGCTCTAATTAACAAAAACAACGACCCATTTTAAATAACATTGATTTGAATGTGTCACAATGTGTTTGAGTTCAGTTATTTGGGTGGTTAAGGTTATGCTGAATCTTTTAGTTAAGGGTAGAGTACAGTTAATTGTTTTGGTTAAAGTTAGAGTAGGTGTGTATGTTTTTGTACCCTTTCATTTCTGTTTCAGTTGAGTCTACATGGTCTAAAATGACTAGACTTTTCCAAAAATTACCTTTTCTTCTACAAACAAAACACTTTCTGTAAGGGTCATTTTTGTGGGTGGGTGGACAGGCAGCAGTAAAATGGTTATTGACACATTTAGAAGTAAAAAAAAAAAAGAACACATGATCTATAATAGTTTAATACCTCTTTCAGGAGGTAAAACCGTCTATATTTAACTGCCAACATTTCCAAAAACTGCATGTCAAAGAAAAGATTCAAGACAAAAGTTTGATCCCGCTGTAACGACATGGATTCTCTTGCAGGGCGACTGGGTGTGGCTGAAGAAATTTGAGGAGGGACAGTTCAAAGAAGTGAAGCAGAGCACTACCAAGATTTTCAGAAAGGTAGAGCAACATGTCCTGACCTGTAAGAGGAAACATTGGCACAGAATTATATTTTTACTGCAATTAGATGGTTTTAAAAAGCTACAAACTGCCTCAAATGTCATACCTACTGTTGGTTGTACACTCAGGGCAGCACAGATTGTGAAGAAGACACTGTTAAAAGCTAAAAACTGTACATGGAGTTCTCGTGATAATAACTACTGTTGATTCATAATGATTTCATTAACTTGTGTATCTGGTTTCTCAGATGAAAGACCTGAGAAACGAGAACGTGAATCCATTCCTCGGCTTCTTCTCGGACTGTTCCATGTTTGCGGTGGTGACGGAGCACTGCTCACGGGGCAGTCTGCAGGACCTGCTGAGGAACGAGGACGTTAAATTAGACTGGATGTTCAAGTCCTCACTTTTGCTTGACCTCATCAAGGTAAAATATACTGAATATACACAATATTACTTGAATTATCCAGTGGCCATTATCCTTGTTGGCTTGTGTATGTTTTGTGATAATCCCTCTATGATGAACTACTCTGTTGAACTTATTGTGCTTCCAGGGTATGAAATACCTTCACCACAGAGATTTCCCTCATGGCAGGCTAAAATCTCGTAACTGTGTGGTTGACGGGCGTTTTGTCCTCAAGATTACTGACTATGGCTTCAATGAGCTGCTGGAGTCTCAGAAAGCTTCTATAGAAGAACCTCCACCTGAAGGTACCTGAATGTGTCTCATTAGTGTTATTATTAGTATTATACTGTATGTATAGTACATTTTGTAGAAAGAACCCACCTGGTTTTAAATCCATACAATTTTAAAATATTGATGATTGTACTATCTACAACATGTGGTTTTAAGATGAGGTTGAAGGCTTTAACTTCAGTATTGCACACGGTCATACATTTATTACAGTTGGTAGGGACTGGTATCATGTTTCCATCCTAATTCTAAATCTTTCCCTTTTTTTCACACAGATCTATTTTGGACAGCTCCAGAGTTCTTAAGGGACCTTGCCAACTCACGTAAAGGCACCTACAAGGGAGACGTGTACAGCTTTTCAATCATCCTTCAAGAGGTGGTGGTCAGAGGGCCACCGTACTGCATGCTGGGTCTATCATCCGAGGGTGTGTATCCATCGGGGAGGAGGAGATGTAGATAAAGGAAGGCAGACAAATTAGAGATAGATTATTAGAGAATATTTTCAACATTTTGTTTTGGCTGTTATGAATATTTGCTTCTCCCACGCAAAAGAGCTCACAGCAGTGAAACAGAATAGTGATAGAGTACATATTCTAATTCAAAACTTGATTGACATGATCTGTCTCCTCCATCGCCACACCAGAGATCATCCGTAAGGTGAAGAAGCCTCCTCCGATGTGCCGCCCCACTGTGGCCCCGGACCAGGCTCCTCTGGAGTGTATCCAGCTGATGAAGCAGTGCTGGAGCGAAATGCCTGAACGCAGACCCACATTCAATGAGATCTTTGACAGGGTACAGTTTTGGTGACACCTTTGCAGTGGTAGAAGAAACACTGGACTGCCTAAAAAATTAAAGTAGAAATACCATGGTCTAAAAATACCCAATTACATAGTGTTTCTTTATGCCTGCCACCGGGTTGGATTTGGTCAGAATCACGCAAAATGAAACTTTTTGAATGTCTTTAAGCAGAAGTAAAGAAGTATCAACAAAAGTAAAAACTCTCATTCTGTAGTATGGCTCCTTTCACAGTGTTATATTATTGTATAATATTATATTATTCTGTTTTTATCACCAACAAATAGATATAACAGCATCTCAATATTGTAGTCTGTCAATGTGGTGCCAGTTTCAGATTCTTGAATTTGTATACCACCGGGTAGACAGTACTGGATCATATCTCTTTATTTCTTTATTAAATTAATAACTATAAGTGTCAAATAAATGTAAGAGAAAAAGTACAATATTTCCATCTGAGTTGTAGTGGAGTAGAAGTACAAAGTATCAAAGTTGGAAATACCCAAATAAATGAACAAGTTAGAAATGTACTAGAGTACGAATTCCACCATTGCACCCTTCTAGCCTTATTGTTTTGAACTTACAACTATCTTTCATACCACTCAAATAAACCAGTTTAAAGAATATTATATGTATTGTTTAACATGATTCTGTATTTCTTTATGAGTAGTTCAAGTTAATCAACAAGGGTAAGAAGACTAACATCATAGACTCCATGCTGAGGATGCTGGAGCAGTATAGCTCCAACCTGGAGGACCTTATCAGAGAAAGAACAGAGGAGCTGGAGGTGGAAAAACAGAGAACAGAAAAGCTACTGTCAGAAATGCTCCCACCGTGAGTTTGTACACGCACACACACACACACGCCACACACACACACACACACACACACACACACACACACACACACACACACACACACAATACAGTGTTCTCTTACACTTGAAACTGAGAATTAATGTGCCACTCTTTTTTCACCAAAAAACATTGTGTACCACTCTTGCCTTTTTTGTAAAGCAATCATGAGTCTGCCTTGAAATCATTATCATACAATTATACAATCTTTTAAAAAAAAAACATTTCCTGCCCCTGCGAGTGTCCTTTTCTTTACACGTTTCATGTCTGTGTGGATGTTCTAGGACTTTGCCACATGTTTGTAGACAATGAAAGTATTGCTATTTTAAAGGAGATTATGTGTATGGGGAGATCTGACCAGACTTGCTTGACCCAGAAGCTGCCCTCACTCTGCACATGCTGAGGAATTTCAGTGTGAACTGTTACCCCTGGGCCTTTTTCAGAATGACAACACCCACTGAGGGGAGGGAAGGGGCTGCAAGCCTGCCTTCCTTAAAAACACCCAAACATTGTAACAATAATGTACAGCTTAGTTTTAATAAAAAAAACAATGTGAATGTAACCTTCCTATGTCTAATGATTTACATTTACTTAATTAAATTTCCGATGATCTGATTCTTGTACTGTCTCTGACCCTCCGTCCTCAGCTCTGTGGCTGAGGCTCTGAAGACAGGCGCCACAGTGGAGCCAGAGTACTTTGACCAGGTGACGATCTACTTCAGCGACATTGTGGGTTTCACCACCATCTCCTCGCTGAGTGATCCCATCGAGGTGGTCGACCTTCTCAATGATCTCTACTCTCTGTTTGACGCCGTGCTCAGTAACCACGACGTCTACAAGGTCAGAGAACGTGCTCAGCATTACTAGTACACTCTTATTTCCTAGTAGTGTGTTATGAGTTTATGAAAATGCTGAGTTTAGGACTTTTGAGGAATTCTCACCTTTATCTGAACTACATTTACAGATATGTATCTTTATAGATATTAGATGAAAGGTTTTATTTGTAAAAATGTTGTTTGCATTGAGAGACCAAAGTGAAAGGTAGATTAACATTGACTATTTTGTTCATATAATATAATAATAATAATTTTATATCCAACAGCACGTATCTACAATACACATAAAGACAGTTGATGTGCCCATAACTGAAAAACAACATGTTATTATATAGGTGGAGACCATTGGTGATGCTTACATGGTAGCATCGGGTCTGCCAAAGAGAAATGGCAACAAGCACGCTGCTGAGATCGCCAACATGTCTCTGAACATCCTCAGCTCAGTAGGGACCTTCCATATGCGGCACATGCCAGACGTTCCCGTCAGGATACGCATAGGAATCCACTCAGGTGAGACGCTACAAAGCCAGAGTCTCCTTAAACTTCTACTCCAGTTGAGACATGTCTCTCCCTGCAGGTGCCTAGAATTCATACAGAGTTAGGAAGATCTGATTTGTGTTACTGTGCCTCTCATATTTGGAATTTGCTTAAAAAAACAACTTTGAGATGGCCTCATATTCTTCATTGATGAGCATGTGCAGTATTACCTGTTTCACAGCTCATTGCAGATTATGAAAAAACTATTTTCCCCCAAACTGTTTTTATCTGCATTATCTATACTTGTTGTCTAATAATAGTTCACCCCAGAGGAGACATGTGGTCTCATCTATCACCTAGACTTTCAAAATAAAACTAATAAAATGGGTTTGGTTAGGCTGCACAAGTTGCTCCTACTTTTCGGGCACAAACATATGTTTGAAAATTTCAGTTGTTTTTCAGGTAACCAAATGTGACTTATATGCACATGTTGATATTGTACTGATCAGTTCTAATGCTGATGCTTGCTGGGAAAGACTGTGGCTCAGAAAAATACAGAGCTTAGTGACCATACTAAGTAGATTGTACAACAGGAACCAGTATTGATGGCAAAACAACAGTGAGTTAAATCCATCGTATTAAATTTGACTTTGTAATATCCTCAGTCTCACTCCACTTGGAGCCTTGTTGTTAAATTGATCTTTAAATGGGATAAATGGCTTCATTTTTTGTGTTTTCAGGGCCCTGTGTTGCTGGAGTGGTAGGTCTGACTATGCCTCGGTACTGCCTTTTTGGAGACACTGTCAACACTGCCTCTCGCATGGAATCCACTGGGCTGCGTGAGTGTCTTGCACACATACCCACCATATTATTTTTTTGTGTTGTTCCATGTTTTGTTGTATTATAATTTTCTGATCTCCTCCCTTTGTCCCTCAGCTTATAGAATCCATATAAATATGAGTACTGTGAAGATCCTCCATTCTCTTAATGAGGGTTATAAAATAGAAGTCAGAGGCAAGACAGAGCTGAAGGTAACATAGCCTACAGTCATTTAGCCTAAGTATTCTGTACTGAGACAAGTATTGTATAGTCTATTAATCAATGCCATGTGTTTTTCAGGGTAAAGGTATTGAAGAGACATACTGGCTTGTGGGGAAAACTAACTTTACAAAGCCTTTGCCAAAACCGCCAGAGATCAAACCAGGGTAAGAGCTTCAACCTATTGTTACTCCTTGCACCTTCAATATGGCTGAATTAATTAAGAAATAATTAGAATACTAAATGTGTGCAAATGAATAGTGATTAAAAGCATACTTGCTCATACCCTACTCTTACCCATCTGATCTAAACCTGTACTAATATGACTGAAACCCTATTTTCTAAGCAGTCCCTTGGCAGGAATGATCACCTGTTCTCATAGTTCAGTTTGCAGATTATGTTCAAAGGAGTGTTAAGTTTCATTTCATTCTACCTGTAACTGCCTCCTGCCACTGATACTGTATACTTTCAACTCATGCAAATTGCAACTATCTGGATGTTACTTCAGAGAGGACAATCACGGGCTGAACCCTGACGATATAGCTGCGTACAGGAGAAAGAAAGCTGAGAAAAAGGCTTGACCTTCTTAGTCCGAACACAGGAGGTAGAGACCTGCATGCCAGCTGGTGTTGTGCTGTGGAAATGTTACTGTGGCTGTCAGTTTGATGTGACCAAATGTGACCTCTGAGCCTGTAGATGCACTGTTTTGTCTCATTGATTGATGAATCTTATTTATTGCTCTGTGACCCACTAGTCTCATTAATCTCTTGATCTTATCACCTTCTACATCTTCTTAAGCAGATTGGGGAAAGCCCTCTTTGTTTACTTCATTCACTTTTTTCTGGCTGGCACATTTTCATAATTAACCCCCGCGTATTTGACTGTGTTTTTGGCTGAATTTGTTGCGTTTCTGTCCGCTTTGTGGTATGCTTTCATTGTATTTTCATGTCCTTGAAATAATGTATAAAACAGATGTCTCTGTAAAATACAATATTGGTCTTAACTCCACCCTCTGCATTTACTAGGGACAACTGGCAGGAGATGGTGACAGAGGAGATCAAAACCCTTTTTCGGAAGGCCAACAGGCAGGTGGACAATAAGATCTGAATGAAAGAAGGAGAAGGAAAGATGTGAAAGAAGCAAAACCAGAGGAGCAGAAGAGAGGAGTACACATCCAGAGAAAAGGAAGAGACAACGAGCTGGGAGGGGCAGGCAGAGGACAGAGAGCACTACACAGCCTCTCACTGTGGCTTAATGCAGACTTGTTTAAGAGGATTGTCCATCGACTGGCTAATCTGCCTGCAGCCAGCACAGCAGAACACGACGGTGCTAATGTAATGAGAGTTGTCGCATTACCTGCCTACGTACCTGCTGCCAGTAGCACAGGGAAGCTGCACCAATCCTTAATGACGGATGCACTCATTCACTCCTCTCCGCACTCACTGGCCACTGAGTGGTCACCTATTTCAGGGCAACCAGAGGTTCACCCATCGGATTATTGAATGCCCCAAACGCCTATTTCAAAATGAAATGTTATATTTTCTGGTGATAATGTCTGTTTTTAGTTTGCCATGAAAGCTCATAATAGAGTTGTGGTGCCGAGGCTGTTACTTCGCTATGGCTGAATATTATATGTTATTAGCTCTCCAAAGTTGGAGGCAAAAGCTGCTATTGTGTATAATTATCAAAAGAGAAGGATACATTTGCCACTTTTATTTCTACTATTTTAGAGCAGAATGACAAGGAAAAGTCAGTCAAGTCTATTCCAACAATTATTTTTAATCAAACTGTCACCTTTTATTTACACTAATGAAAGGGTGACAGTGCTGGGGAAGTAATGACAATGCAGCATGATAATGAAAATGATTTATTTACTGTTATAGTCAATACAATTATAAGGTGTACTTAATTAATTTTAAGGTGTGAAACATGTTGCTGTTTCCAAAGTGTTCAGTGATGGATTAATTCCCCTGACACATATTGATGTCAACACCTATAATTCTGGTTAAAGTTTATGATCTAAATTGTTGGTTTGTGCTACAACATATCTGTTTGCTTTCAATAATAGACCTCTAATACAAAGTCATAAATTATGTGAAGTTCATTGGGAACATGTTTTTTGGTGGTCATTTTTTTTCACCTTCTCAACATTTTAAAAACTTAAAATCTTGTTTGTTTTCTGTAATTACAGATTTACAGCCTCTCTTTAATGTGTCAGTATGAGAACACAAACTCTGCTTACACAGCAGTTTTTATTCATGACACCAACCAAAATTGCCTCTAAATTGAATTTCACTTTGTTATGTCAAAGTAACTTTTGTGCACAAATGTATTTATTAAACTTTATTTCTGAGTTCAGGAGAGCAAACTGTGAGCACAAAGTTAATCATGTCCCCAACAGCTAATGTTGCACTGTATTAATGTTCCACTACGGCCCATTTTAAGACTTTTGTGTTGCTAGAAGCTCTAGTGCATTTTTCCTCACATATGCATGATGTGTCTGAGTGATACTTATCAGCACCATCTAGTGTCCAATTAAGATATTGCTCAGGAGCACTGAATGGATTGGTGTTTTTATTATTATTATTATTATTATCGACAGATTACTTTTGAGTAAAAAAGTTAACTGCAAACAAATGTTGGCGTAAGGGAATACCTGAGAGCACAAACTACAAGTAAAATTAAATAAAATAGGTAATAATAATATTTAAATATGCTATTTGATAGAACTTGAAAGTTTTGTTTTGACCTAAACCCCAAATATGAAGTCACATTTCAACTGAAACCATAGCCAATTATTATTGTAACCATTATATTCTAATAACACTTGAAAATAATGCCCTGCATCTCATCATATTAATCTTAACTGTAGGAGCAGCTTTTTTCATGCTTGGTGTACAAAACAACAGCACAGTCAGTCAGAAACGTGTATATTGTGTAATTTATGTTGTCATTTGTCTTGTATATTATCACTGCAATGCAACGTATAAGGTGTATGTAAATATGACATCAGTCATAGTAATTAAATCATTAATTTGTAACACTTTCATTGTTTGCCATTCTTTATAGTGCAACCAGTCCTGTTCCTCTTTGCAACCAGAGTGTGGCACTGCTGCTCTTCTACAGAAATTAAGGCATTTGTTTCTTACAAAGGGATTGCATAATTTTCAAGATTTATTCTTGTTTTTGCATTCTTTGATCTGTTTTCGTGATGCCATTTTGAGAATAAATGTGGACAAATGTCTTAATGTAATGCTTAGGCTGTATGAAAGTTACCTTTAAAAGTACTTTCAGCCTACCTTGCAGTGACGCCTTTATTAGGTGTGCTGCAATTGCAGGAGATTGAGTTTCCTACTCACCATGAGAACCCTGCACTCCAGTTTTTGCTCTGCAGAGTCTGCTTTTCTGCAGTTTCAGCTGAACAAATATCCAACTAGCTTTATATATAGGCTAGCTGTGGTGAGGGAAATGGACCACAAAATTCTCTGGATAGTTGTCTATGACAGACTAGCAATATAAGGAAAGAGTCCTCATTGTCAAATCCCTACATTCCAGACCTGGGAGGATTGTTTGACCTCCAGCCAACTGGAAAGATTGTTATCCTTTTACTTTGAGAATTTAACTCTACTGGGCTAACATTCCTCTATTCAACACGCTGTGTTTGTACGGTATTCAGACATGCTTAACAAAAATAGAACACACACACACGGATCATTTTCTTTTTTTTTATTGAAAAGTGAACAAATTATTATGTAATCACACAATTCCAAGAGTTCTCTGTGAAAATACCAACAGCAACAAAATGACACAGTATGGTTGGCAAGTGAACATAAAGCAAACACCAGACATTTTGCCACCTTATCTCTGCAAGCTCAACTTCTGCAGAGAAACAGTTCAGTGCAGACCGGAGGCAAAAATAAAAAAAACTGAGAGCATGAAGGGAAGAAGTGAGACAGAACTGTCAAACAAGCTTGTGCTTTTTCTCTTTAAACATTAAAGATAATGCAAGAAAACACACATGGATCGTAGCTGAACAAATACTGGCGAAGAGGATGTAAAGAAAAAGAGTTCATACTTAATATAAGCATGTTTTCTGCTGTGCCAACTGCTGTTTGTTAATGGAAATCACAAATGAGACACATATTTGTGACTGAGGACATTATTCAAGCCAAGGGGGCTAGAGCATGAGACCTAACGTTTACACAGAATTGTTCCCTGCGAAGTTTTGGTGTGTCTAAAAACAGTAAGCTCAGATACTCAGTCCACAGATTGACTATTGGAATGTGCTCATTAGGTAACAGGCATACCAGAAACACACACAATTTCCTGCCATTATTTCACAAATAACATAGCTACCTACCACAATTCACAAAATTATCATTATAGCTCATCGCGCATCTTGTCTCCTTTAGGTTTGACTACCCTGCCAATGTACATAATGGAGTTGGTCTTGTTGTCCTTCACCAGGAAAATGAAGGGGTGATCCACGTAAAAAAGTTTTGGATTCCTCAGCTTATCAGAGCCGAAGATGCTGGTGTCGTATGGGTTTCCTTCCACATCCAGCTCAAGGGTTGACGCGTGGAAGACGTTAGAGAGGTAGAGGTCCTTCTTTCCGGAGATGTTGGACAAGTCTGCCTTGGCTTTGTCCACAGCTTCTGTCAGGCCGAGCTCAGACAGGTGTTTCTAGAAAAGACAGAGAATTGCTCAAGTCAAGGGGTTGTGATTTTTACGTGTCTGTACAATAACTTTTCATTGTTACAGCCATTCCTCCAACAAATAACCACTATTTACCTGCAGGTTGTGGCTGACATCCACTGCGATTTTAGGGAGGGAAATGGCAACAGCCCTGTTCTCCATCTTGCTGATCCAGGTGTCCACCTGCTTCCTGGTCAGGAGTTTCTCCAGGCGGTCTAGGGGCTCCAGGTGGTAGGGCATGATCATGATCATAGAGGCTTGCTTCTGGCCCAGAGGCATGTTGAGCACATAGATACGGTTCTCTGTGTCCTCGTAGAAGTCATACAGACCTGCAAAGAGTGGAGAAGTCAGATGTCTTATCTTGCTTGCACTGTTGTTGGTAAAATCAGTTTTGAAGACATACCAGGATAAGGTCGGGGGTAGAGATGATGGAACGAAACTCACCAGTACGATGCATCATCGGAACTCCAACCGTGAATGAGCGGGTAACCAGGAAACTACGCGTGTCCACCATTTTATCGTGGAATTTCTCATTCCAGTGAGCTGTGGGACAAAACATAGAGAAAGTTACATGTCTGCACAGTCCTTTTGGCAGACATGAATATGTGGCTTTGAATAAGAGACACTACTTATACTCACGCTTGAAGAACATAGCATTGACGATCATGGCTCCATCTGGGTTCTGCACATCCTTGGTGATCTCAGGCAGCTTGCCACCTGTAGACTTGGCTGCCCACTCGTTGATGGAGTTCACTGCGCTCCTCTTGTCCCTGAAGTTTATTTTTGAATGGTCATAGTTGTAGTGCTTCTTGCTGTTTTTCACAAAATCATCTGCAAAGGAGACAGAGCTGGGGCCGTAGAGGCGGTTGTTGATCTTCCAGGTAGTGTTGCGTGTCTTGGCATCGCTCACCTGGGAAGTAGCAACGTATAAAGAGTGACAAATGAGCAATATATAGAAAGTGCTGAGGGTCTAGTATGAGGCTGAGTACCAAATATATAGGAAATAAAAATAATGGTATCAATGGGATACATAACATGTTGGTAATGAAGTCTCACATACAATGTTGGATATTGTTGTACTTACCTCAGTGAGCAGCTCAGACAGGCCTGCATGCAGATGCTCATCCTTCAGTTTATCAACACTGAGGACGGTTTTGACCTGGGAGGCAGTGGTGGCCTTTCCACCAAGAGCCACAATCCCCAGAGAGGAGGCCACGACCACGGGAGAGATGAGGATATTCTCTGTGTCTTTCTCCTTTGCCATGTTGTGGTAGAGACTAGAACAAAATCACAAATAAGATTATATGTTGGTGTTCCTAACAAAGAAAGAGAACAATGCTTAAGCAAAACCAAGAGTGTATAATACAAACTTAATTATAATTACAGTAATATAGATTTCAGACCTGAAGGCCAGATTGGCGCTGTTGTCAGCCAGTGTGGTGGCATGGCTGCTCAACTTCTTGTCCTCTGCAGAGGCCATGAGGGCCAGCAGACAAAGAGCTACAATGTTAGTCATCCACATCCTGTCTGTCTCCAAAAACAGCTGTAGCAGCCTGTGAAAAGGGAACAAAAGAAAAAGTTAGGGATAACATAACCTAACCCTGGCTGGTCTCCTAATTAAAGAGAGATGTGTATTGAGTTTGAGATGAAAGGCACACATTAGAATAACTCCTCAGAATGGGTTTGTGGAATGAACTAATCTTCAGAACTATTTTAATTTAATAAAACCATATCTCACAAAGAACATACTAGGGCACAGACTACAATGTGGATGTGAAGCTGTTAGTGGAAGGGCAGGGTTGGCTCAGCCCACACAGAAAGCTTTGGAATGCCTCCAGTTTCAGGCAGGCACGTTCCTCGCCACGTCAGCAGCAACTGAGGCTTAGCTGTATAGCTGGAGCTGCCTTACACGCAATGATTCGAGACTGAAATATGATGCCTTCTCTGTTCTCTACATTTATTGTAATTGATGCAAACTGTTGCACGTCAGCACTTTGATGAATTTAATGACTTCTTCTTGAGATCACACATCCCTGTGTTTCACTGTGCAGACATTCAGTCCAGTCTTTAATACTTTTACTTGTTCTTGCAGCAGCACTCTTGAGCCTTCTTTTGTCCCAGAGAAAGGGCGTGTGCCTGCAGTCTATATCAAACTCATTCCATCACATGTTCAAACAATAAAGTACATAAGGCTGTAATTAACCAGCTGCTAGGCATCTCTGAACATGTCTCTGGTCCCTCTTCACCATCCTGAGTGCAGAGATATGTTGTCTGCATCTCAGGATTTGCATATTTGTGATACAGCAGAAATGACTTTGCATCATATTCGGATACCTTGAGATGTTATGATGTCTGCGATTTTCATTCTGAAAGACAAGAGGTGTATGTAGTAATCTCCATAGAGCAGGCAGTAAAACATTATAAAGGCTCTTTTTTTTCATCTTATTTCCCAGTTTTTAACCTTTAGACTTAAAACATTTAAGCTATAGTTGAGTTATTGTACAGGTTAGTCATCACTCATTCTGACACGTAAACTTTTTTCATTGGCTGGGTGTGAACCAGAAAAAAAACTTTCATCCAATCAGCTGTGCCACAGTGGAACAGCACTGATTTCTGGAGGAGAGGGTTGAAACCTGGCGCTTTTATCATCAAAAAGTAATGGATAAAATTGGGTGCATATAAAGTACATTCCTTTAGTGAATCTGATTGCACTTAATGCATTGAAACAGACTGCAAAGCAGTGACATGCAAGAGGCAAAAAGCTTTAGTATCACCATGCTGGGATAAGTTTAAAAACTTCAAGCTCTCCAAAAGATTATTTTTTATCTACAAATAAAATACTCTGAGTGCTGGTCAAACAGCCAGAGGGAAACGGAAAAATGCTGCTCTGTAACTTTAAACCATAAAAACAAAGCAGTCCTTTCATCCTCTGCATTCCTTTCAGAAAACAAAGACAGTGATCTTCTAATCCTTACCTAGCACAGAGTCGCTGGATTTCTTCTCTGAGTTGTGTCCTGTAAGAAGCGTATCTGTAACACACTCTCCTGCTCTATATATCCTGAGAAGGAACTTTCTAGAAGTGGGAATGGGATATTCAAATGAGGGTGTCTGTCTTTCCTCAGGAAGTTGGGAGCTGGGACGTCCCCCTTTGAAACCACAGGCTGGAATGAGAGGGGTCGGTGACTTCCACTGCACTGGTCTGGGCTCAGCTTTGAAAGTTTCCCAGCAGCAGCTGCATACAGAAATGCATTGAAAAATCTGATTCTTGGTCAGCCTGAACTGCTGATGTACAGAATTACTCCTCAGCCTAAAGGTCCTAAAAGCTGCTTGCTGATTCAATCTCTAACACTGGTTTCATCACGTGTAAAACATAAAGAACACGGTGTGTTTTAATATGAATAAAGGATTCTTGTGCATGAAACCTTGTGGCATATGAATGCTGCTTTTGCAGTCATTGAAAATTTGAGAGTATGAGCCTCTTTAGAACACCATTCTTCTGCGATCTCAGCAGACAAGATTAACATCAGTGAAAGGGCACATTCTTTGCAAATGTTCCCAGAAGAAAAGTAATTTTCTTTTAAAGCAGTCATTTTATTGCTGTTAACCTTTTTAAACGGATGTCTGATTTCAAATGGAAACTTCCAGAACTTCCAAAGCTTCACTCAGTATTTGTGCTTCCCAGAAGTTGCAGGATCTCCAGCCCTGCCCCACCCCCACAGTGCCACGTCTCTCCAGCTCAGCTGCTGATTGTAGGGTGGTTGAAGGATGGGGGTGTTGGACGACCACTGTCATAAAAACTGCAGTGTCCTGACCGGGACCTCTTGTCTTAACTTACACAAGATCATTTTAAACAAAATAAGTTATAAATACTTGTGTAAAGCTGTTCAGCGTTTACTTGGACACATCACATTGATATTAATGTCTGCATTACAATATCTGAGTCAGACAATGTTAGTCATTAACTTTTTTCTGTATCTTCTTTAATCTACAGAAACCAATCAAACATTTGTCACACTTGTATTCACTATAGGACAGAGTAAAACATTTGATAGATACGTTATCCCTATGATTACAGAATAAAATCAACATAACAATTGATCAAGGTGTCTGACAAACAATTTTGCAACCAGAGGAATTCCATCAATCTTAATCCCCAAACTCCTCCTCTTTTGCAGCCCTCTGCAAATTGCCAACTGATGAATGGGTTGCCTTGTACTGTAGTTTATAGTTGCTTGTTTGAGGGGGGGCTCCAGAAAGTTCTATGAAAGTTTCATGTTTGAAATAAACGCCTCTCATTTCAAATTATACATCACTCACATTTTTGGGGATAGTGAGGCCACCTACTACTTACTAACACACAAGGGCAGGTTTGCAGCCCCTCCCCTCCCCTCAGGGGGTGTTTGCCATTCTGAAAAAGCCCCAGGGGTAACAGTTCACACTGAAATTCCTCAGCATGTGTGTAGAGCAAGGGCAGCTTCCACAGTCAAGCAAGTCTGATCAAATCTCCCCGTACACATAATCTCCTTTAAAGTAGCAATACTTTCATTGTCTACTAACGTGTGGCAAAGGCCTGGAACATCCACACAGACATGAAAAGAGAGAAAAGAAAAAGAGAAGGACACTCACAGGAGCAGGAAATTAAATATATATATATATATATATATATATATATATATGTTTCTTTAAAGAAGTGTAAGAGTGTTGAAGGGGTCATCCAAGATTGTGTGCGTATTTTTGTGAGGATAAAGAAGCTTCCAGCACTTTCCAAAACCACCACCACGTGCAAACATCTACAATACTATCAGACTTTTACTTTTAAGATTTAAGATATGGCAAGGAAAGACATGAATGCTATAGGCACAACACTAAATGATGCAATATTTCACCAACTGTTTTTGAAATGTTTTCATAAGATTGCTTCTTAAACAGAATCTGATATGCAGAATGACAGACCTCAGAGGGTGGAGCGATTCTTAAAGAACTGCAGCAACATAATGATCTGGAGCCTAGTCAACATCTGGATGTCATTACACTAACCTCAGCACCAGTCTTGGTCAGTTGCATCCTTTGTGTCTTTCTTAGTGTTGCTAAAAGAGGATCTACCAATAGGATTTTTGCTTGCTGGTATCAGTCAGTAAAAGTTCATTTCCAGTCAATACATTTGGATTTAAATGATACATTATGCCTGTGGTTGACAGATTACCAACGCTTTTAACAGGATCATCAATAATGTACTGACTGGGGAATGTAAGGAAATCATTACACCTTGTTGTAAGTCTTTGCTATTTATCAAGTTATAAGGCACATTTTATAAGTAATGGAAAGTAATCAAATTAAAATCAGCTGCCCATGCAGATGCACTGTAGAGGAGGACACACAGACAGACCCCTACGTGGTCACTCTCCTGTCTTACCATCTGTGTTAGCCCTTCAAACAAAACCACCAACAGGATTGTGGCAGCTTGTTGCAACTGTAAAGAGGTTTTCTCAACACCTCTCTTTCTGTTTATCTCTTCTATATGTATCACTGTTAACGCTTCCTCTCCAGTGTTCCTTCCAGATGGGCTGCAACATTGTTTACTGATTCCAGTGCTAAAAACTTCCCAGCTGTATCAGTCTTTCATTACAATTCAAAGTTGCTAAAAACACAAAATGTTTCTAAAATAATCTTTTCTTTAACCATTTTACAGATAATACGTGTTATATATGGTGTATATGCAGTATCAGTGTTGGCTGTAATCTTGCCATTCTCTCCCAAACTACTACGGCCACGACTACACACTGAGGAACTGTTATATACATAGACTGCAGTGAAGGAAGACGAGCTGCCAGGAGAACTATGACGCAAGACCTGATGAATGTTTCAGTCTTGCTGTATGATGTAACTTTCTGAACTTTTCTGTCTATGAGTGCAGAAAGGTTCTCGATCATATACAGTTTGTTTAATGTCCGCATTGTCTAAAGCAGACTTACATTAGCTGTAATAAGGATACAATAAATTAGACGCCTATTTGGATGCTATGTCTTAACTGAATACAGATATATTTAATGCATTTTATATTAACTGGAGAGTTGTATTTTGAAGACATAGATAGATATTCCTTTATTTGTCCCACAATGGGGAAATTCCAACATGAACATGAACTGTGTAACTGTTCTAAACAACTGCTACTTCATGAGGAGCAGTTTCTTTGTCATTTCTTAATAAACGCTGTTACTACCCTTTTCCATTCTCATATGAATATCTCACATAATATTGTTTATTAATATATTTATTTTATTTAATTTTCAGTGGAAAATGTATAGCAAAAGAGTGTTATCATCACACCACTGTCTAAAGCCTGTCACTAAACAGTTCTTCTATATTTATTAATAATAGACAACACAAACATTTGACAGATGATAGATCTGTTTGATTTAAAACTCAAATAAACTATTTTTGGTGGGGTAAAAGAAGGATATTCCATCAAAATCATTAGGTTGACCACATGCTGAAAAACTGTATTGAACAGAATAACAAATGTTAGTTGGATACTTTCTCACTGCAGAGTAACAAACTGTCTATTATGGATCTTATGGAACTTAATGACAAGGCAGCAGCACTCAGGTGAATCTTTCTAATGGTTTTACTACTGAGCTATTGTGCCCCCTGGTGGCAAAGGTTTAAAAGCTTCCCCCAAAGCCATCATAGTAATTAAATTCTTAATTAAGGTTACATTCAAGTTTGTATTCCCTATTTTACTCTAGAGCTGTTTAAAATTTAACTTCTTAATTTTTTAATCTTCCACTGTGTGAATGTGAAAAAATGCAAAAAGAAAGATTTTGCACATAATTCAAAGACATCTACCTTTAGGTTTTTAGAGAAGCCTTAAATCTTGGATATAAACACTGAAAGTCTACAAAATTAGAAGAACCAGTGTACATCATTTTAATTGTTTGCAAGACGTATGTGCTAGTGCATTGCATTGTGGACTAACAGCCACTAGATGGGGTACAAAAGTAAAGTATGTGCCCTTTGCCAGAGGTTTTTCAGGACAGCATACTGAAAGAGATGCAGATAAGATTATTGTGCAACTATAAATATCACAACGTTTGGCATCACAGGGATCACAAGCAAGTTAATCTAAGACATCCTGAAGAGACGGCTCAAGCTGCTCCATTGATAGTCAATAATAGGAGCTTTACTCACAGTGACTTACACTTTCTTTTTTTCCAGTTCAGCAATTTTCTTTCACTGTGGAAAAATTAAAGGACATGTAAATTAAAATATTCAAACAAACATTCTAAAGCTCAGTGAATGTGTAACAGTTCATAACATCAGCGTGTGTTTCTGGCCTCTATACCTGTGGGATAGTTGTTACATACATTGGATAACCTGTTTCAGAGCAAAGTAACAAGTTTCATACCAACTCCCTACAGATATCTATACAGTATTATATTAAATCCATGCTGTTTCAATCCCCTTTCAGACTTGTTGCACTGAGGCCTCCGAACAAATGGCACCCTGCTGTGAAATTCCAGCAGACCTTTAAAGTCACAAGCTGTTGAATTGGCATTTAGTCCACACAGTCTGGCTGCGTTGGTATTCTCATCATTCGTCTTTGTTCACCCTCACCCTGCACCAGTCGTGTTCTGTACCCTTTCAGACAACATCAGTCACAAACTCTTCACCCGACCCTGCTGCATTACGTAACACACCACATGCAGAGGAGACCCCTACCAGCCGTCCTACTCTTCCTGCCTGTGGAGGCTGGTTGGCATTTAAAAATGGGTGGAGTTCATAAGAAAGCGCAGCAGCTGGAGCTGCTGACTAATGCCAACCTGTGGTGAGAGGAGCAGGGAAGCCCAGGTCAGCCACTTCAAACAGGGATATGTCACAGGAAATGCCCTTAAGGGGAGCATTTCCCTTGCTTCCCCACCTGTAGATGATCATGGAGCGACAATGCCACGGTGTGTGTGTGTGTATGAATGGCTGCATGCATATGAGGATGGGGATATAATTGCAACATCAAATTGCCTGATAATTAAGGTGCTGTTTGATCTGAATGCAGCTTTATGCAACATGTCTTAAGAAAGACACAAATGCAGGCACACA